GTCTAAAATAGCGATTTTTGTAAAGTCACCAGAAGTCTTCCCTGCCGGGTTGAACCCTGGCCCCAGGACAGAAGGGACCTTTCCCGCCACCCGTCCCCATGCCCTCTTTGGTATAGTGGTTTGGCGCGCGCGCGCTACCGTGCGAATGGACGAGGGTTCGGATCCTCGGCGCATGTACCCTTTTGCTTTTTGATAGTTCAACAACAAAACATATTTCGAGGCTCTCGGTATCCGAAATTTAGGCCAGTCCCTCGCTCTAGCGCCGCAGGCCAAAGAAAAGGTCCTTGGCCCGGGCTCTAGCGCCGCAGGCCAAATGCTGGAGAAAAATCAGTAGCTAGCGCCGCAGGCCAGAGAATGGTTCCTAGAGACAGGCTCTTGCGCCGCAGGCTTTCAAAAACGGAAGGGGAATATATGATTCCTAGACGGGGCCAGTGGAAAAGAGCCGCGAAGCGGTCTTTTTCCACTGGTCAATTGACATACGCCGGAAGTGGAGGTAACTTCTAAAAGGAAGGGAGGGCATGATTTTAAAAAACTAATTTAGCTTCCTGACGATGACGAATACCCAACGACGATGTTCCGAATCCGCGCATATGGCAATGGTATCAATGCTTATCGTGTCGAATGCCCTGACAACCGGCCGGGCCTTGGGTTTTCCATAATTATTGATTGCATTCGCGATTTCCGTACCGGAAACGCGTAATCTCACTTTGCTCCGGCTTTTCGGCTTTTCAACGGCCGGCGGCTTGGCTGGTTCTGCGGCCTCAAAACCTAAAAAAAGCCGAGTCCGGACCGGAGGCGCCGGCAAAGCCGCGCGGCTCGGCCGCGTTCTAATTCTTCCTGCAGAAAAACCGGCGGCTCGGCCCTTTGCCATGTCTGATCAAAACTATAATGATCGCCAAACGCTATAATTCCATTTCAGAGTACCTGGCGGCCTTCTACGGCTGTATATTATGCATCTTCGACAAATAAAGTCAAACGCCGAGGCACACCGCCCTTTACATACATCGCCCACACTCGCCTCATTTTATCTAGCCCCGACTTTCCCATCGGCTCAAGTAAAGCTTTGAACTGTCTGTTGATCCTCCAAAATGTACGCACAACAAGAATCCTTTCGCCTGGTTCCCTTCCCCGCTTGCTGGGTCTTTGGCGATAAAAGCAGACACGTCCGGCGATGTTTGAACAGAATCCATACTGGTCGGTATTTTGAAGTGATTGTTGACATCTTGCAGGTTAGGCGGTGATTACGATAATTGCCGAACCTTTCGTGGCATACCCGCATTTCCCAGGGGGTTGTCGCGCCTGCACCTCATGAAGCGCTTGCACGGGTGCCTTCGCTATACGCACTCCGAAAACGCTCGTACGTATTCCGAAAGCATCATCGTAACCTTCCTACGACAGTTTGGCGACGATTTGACGAAGCAGCTTGGAAAGGGTCTTGACGTCATCTGAATATTCAGAATTCGTCGTCCAAAATGTCGGAGGCATCATCGTCATCTTCCTACTACAGTTTGGCGACGATTTGACGAAGCAGCTTAGAAAGGGTCTTGACGTCATCTGAATATTCAGAATTCGTCGTCCAAAATGTCGGAGGCATCATCGTCATCTTCCTACTACAGTTTGGCGACGATTTGACGAAGCAGCTTAGAAAGGGTCTTGACGTCATCTGAATATTCAGAATTCGTCGTCCAAAATGTCGGAGGCATCATCGTCATCTTCCTACTACAGTTTGGCGACGATTTGACGAAGCAGCTTAGAAAGGGTCTTGACGTCATCTGAATATTCAGAATTCGTCGTCCAAAATGTCGGAGGCATCATCGTCATCTTCCTACTACAGTTTGGCGACGATTTGACGAAGCAGCTTAGAAAGGGTCTTGACGTCATCTGAATATTCAGAATTCGTCGTCCAAAATGTCGGAGGCATCATCGTCATCTTCCAACTACGGTTTGGCGACGATTTGACGAAGCAGCTTGGAAAGGGTCTTGACGTCATCTGAATATTCAGAATTCGTCGTCCAAAATGTCGGAGGCATCATCGTCATCTTCCTACTACAGTTTGGCGACGATTTGACGAAGCAGCTTAGAAAGGGTCTTGACGTCATCTGAATATTCCGAATTCGTCGTCCAAAATGTCGGAGGCATCATCGTCATCTTCCTACTACAGTTTGGCGACGATTTGACGAAGCAGCTTAGAAAGGGTCTTGACGTCATCTGAATATTCAGAATTCGTCGTCCAAAATGTCGGAGGCATCATCGTCATCTTCCTACTACAGTTTGGCGACGATTTGACGAAGCAGCTTAGAAAGGGTCTTGACGTCATCTGAATATTCAGAATTCGTCGTCCAAAATGTCGGAGGCATCATCGTCATCTTCCTACTACAGTTTGGCGACGATTTGACGAAGCAGCTTAGAAAGGGTCTTGACGTCATCTGAATATTCAGAATTCGTCGTCCAAAATGTCGGAGGCATCATCGTCATCTTCCTACTACAGTTTGGCGACGATTTGACGAAGCAGCTTAGAAAGGGTCTTGACGTCATCTGAATATTCAGAATTCGTCGTCCAAAATGTCGGAGGCATCATCGTCATCTTCCTACTACAGTTTGGCGACGATTTGACGAAGCAGCTTAGAAAGGGTCTTGACGTCATCTGAATATTCAGAATTCGTCGTCCAAAATGTCGGAGGCATCATCGTCATCTTCCAACTACGGTTTGGCGACGATTTGACGAAGCAGCTTGGAAAGGGTCTTGACGTCATCTGAATATTCAGAATTCGTCGTCCAAAATGTCGGAGGCATCATCGTCATCTTCCTACTACAGTTTGGCGACGATTTGACGAAGCAGCTTAGAAAGGGTCTTGACGTCATCTGAATATTCAGAATTCGTCGTCCAAAATGTCGGAGGCATCATCGTCATCTTCCTACTACAGTTTGGCGACGATTTGACGAAGCAGCTTAGAAAGGGTCTTGACGTCATCTGAATATTCAGAATTCGTCGTCCAAAATGTCGGAGGCATCATCGTCATCTTCCTACTACAGTTTGGCGACGATTTGACGAAGCAGCTTAGAAAGGGTCTTGACGTCATCTGAATATTCAGAATTCGTCGTCCAAAATGTCGGAGGCATCATCGTCATCTTCCTACTACAGTTTGGCGACGATTTGACGAAGCAGCTTAGAAAGCGTCTTGACGTCATCTGAATATTCAGAATTCGTCGTCCAAAATGTCGGAGGCATCATCGTCATCTTCCTACTACAGTTTGGCGACGATTTGACGAAGCAGCTTAGAAAGGGTCTTGACGTCATCTGAATATTCAGAATTCGTCGTCCAAAATGTCGGAGGCATCATCGTCATCTTCCTACTACAGTTTGGCGACGATTTGACGAAGCAGCTTAGAAAGGGTCTTGACGTCATCTGAATATTCAGAATTCGTCGTCCAAAATGTCGGAGGCATCATCGTCATCTTCCTACTACAGTTTGGCGACGATTTGACGAAGCAGCTTAGAAAGGGTCTTGACGTCATCTGAATATTCAGAATTCGTCGTCCAAAATGTCGGAGGCATCATCGTCATCTTCCTACTACAGTTTGGCGACGATTTGACGAAGCAGCTTAGAAAGGGTCTTGACGTCATCTGAATATTCAGAATTCGTCGTCCAAAATGTCGGAGGCATCATCGTCATCTTCCTACTACAGTTTGGCGACGATTTGACGAAGCAGCTTAGAAAGGGTCTTGACGTCATCTGAATATTCAGAATTCGTCGTCCAAAATGTCGGAGGCATCATCGTCATCTTCCAACTACGGTTTGGCGACGATTTGACGAAGCAGCTTGGAAAGGGTCTTGACGTCATCTGAATATTCAGAATTCGTCGTCCAAAATGTCGGAGGCATCATCGTCATCTTCCTACTACAGTTTGGCGACGATTTGACGAAGCAGCTTAGAAAGGGTCTTGACGTCATCTGAATATTCAGAATTCGTCGTCCAAAATGTCGGAGGCATCAGCGTCATCGCTAGTCATCTGTCCGAAATCGATTCTTTACCCCCCTAGTTCCTGGTGCGCTTCCGGGGAGCTAAATCAGAGCACAACATCGGCCAGATCGCCCGAGGCAAGGCTGGCGTCTAAATTGCGGGAACCGGAATACATCGATATCGATTTTTGAACTGCCTACAATTTGAAAATATCTGATAGGGTTATCGCGGTTACGCCTTGCTTAATTTCGGATTTGCGAAAGCGCCTCAGCATAGCTTTTTCGACGTCGCCTAGCCCAAACTCTTTTTAAAAACTATCAAAAACCCCTCCTCATGGCTTTTTATGCCTCGCCTATCCCAAACTCTTTTTATAAACTATCAAAAAACCCTCTTCATGGCTTTTTATACCGCGCATGACGTAAGGCTTTTTAAAAACTATCAAAAACTCCTCCTCATGGCTTTTTATACCTCGCTTAGCCCAAACTCTTTTTAAAAACTTTCAAAAACCTCTCCTCATGGCTTTTTATACCGCGCATGACGTAAAGCTCTTTTAAAAACTATCAAAAACTCCTCCTCATGGCTTTTTATACCTCGCCTAGCCCACTCTTTTTAAAAACGTTCAAAAACTCTCATCATGGCTTTTTATAACGCGCATGACGTACAAGCTTTTTAAAAACTTTCAAAAACCCCTCCTCATGGCATTTTATACCTCGTCTGGCCCAAACTCTTTTTAAAAACTTTCAAAAACCCCTCCTCATGGCTTTTTATGCCTCCACTGGATCTAAATATTTTTTTAACAGATATTTTTTGAGTGCAAAACCCATTTTGCCGCGGTCGTCTTAAGTGATAAGGCTATAATTCATAGCGAACGTGCAGCTGGTCGTGCAGTATGGTATTTTTAATTTGAGCCACTTGCCCATGCTGTCGATTCTTAGAATTTTGTGATCGCATATCTCGCGGCTTCTTCATGAAATGTGTTCGTCTGAAGTTCCATGTTCTGACTTTTTTAATGTTTCGCTTTCAGCGGCGGCCGGCGTAATGTCTGTGCCATCAAACGTGTCCGACCAGCAGGGCGCCAATCATTTTCCGCTCCAAGAAGGTGCGTAGTTCTCGGTGTGCGTTAAAATGTTTTTTTTTAGTCAAAAAGGTTGTGGACGCCATTACGGAAGGGGTGATTAGCCAAGAGAAGCTGCTCGGTGATCTGACCTCCGATGGCTATGGGTTCCTACGTGCCGACCATCCACTCCACAACACCTACCGTCTAAAGGTATAACTTGTGGTTCTATGGGTTGTGAAAGCAGGGAGAATGATCACCTAGGTTATTCCGTCGACTATCTGGGTTTAGCCTTCTAAATTATGCGCATTTGCGAGCTCAAAATTCCACGCGATGCAAAACAGAGCCGATCTGTTATCTTTTTGAGGGTTCGCGTGCTAAACTTTTGTGTCGAGCTATTTCCTAAGTTACCAATTTCAGCTCGCGACGGCGCTCGCCCCGGCTGAAGACCGAACGGATGGCTGGTTCTTGAGCTTGAAGGCCCGACGATGGAGCGTTAGACTGTACGGAAACCAGCTCTGTAAACTCGAGAAGTTCAACCTGAAGGCTGTCGAGGATTGCCGCCGCTTCACAGACTATCACCACCTGGCGCTGAAGAATCCGGCCGGCACTGAGAAAACGTTGGAAGAAGTTCTGAAGGAAATCGTAAGATTTCTCTGATTATAGGAAAAATCTTTTTGGAGGACGACGCAAATGAGTGGCCATGGATGTTTTGCGGCTGCGAGTTTAAGAAGGGCCGTAAACGCAAGATCAACAACGTTGACCGAATTTCTGGGCAAAATCTGGCGAATCCTAATGGTAAGGCTCATTCCGGATTTTTCTGACTTGCTGATTTTAGTGCCCGTCGTCGGCCAGCACCACCAGCGAAACTATCCCGGCGACAACCTCTTCCAAGGATACTTGCCCCCGCAGCCGCCAACAGGTGTGTTATGAATTCGTTTCGATTAACTCTTTTCTAGTCGACAATATGATGCTGCCCGGGACCTCTGGCACTGTTTGGCAAGGCCGCGCTCAATACAACATCGACTACGACACTGCACCGGATTATGGTACGAAACCTTGGTTTTTTAATAACTAAGTGTTTACAGGCCGCGGGAGCTTCGCGGATTACGACTCTGGGGACACGGATGGTAGCGTACAGACCGGACCACACCAACAACATCAATGAATTGCCGTTCTTTTCGTGATCCGGGGAGGGCGAAGTTTTTGTTGATTTTCAAGCCTTTTCGCAGTATTTTAAACGAAACTCTTCAAAAAAATCTCAGACGCGTTCGACCTCTACTCTAATTTTTTGCGAAACTTCCAGCCCTCGTTCAGCCTCAAAATCTATAAACTTCTACTACTAAAGGAAATTAATTTTCCGAATTCTGCACAAAAGCGATCTAATTGGCAAAAAAGAATTTTTGTCTCATGAAGGAAAAATTCACCCCCCCAGCGTCGCATATCCGAGCTGTGGTTTGCCTTTTCGTGTGTTTTCTCTGTATCTACTTGAGTCGCCTCTACCGTCAAACCTCCATTTTTGTCCAAAATATTTCCCTGGGCTTTTTCTAGCAAAAAGTCACTTTTCTTTTAAATACGGGTCGAATATGTGATTTTCTTGCAATTTTAATGTCCGATAAACATGATTTGACTAGAGGAAAGAATAAGCAAGGTGGTATGGGCTTGGCATCCCTGACAGGTTATCGACTTGTCTTGACGTACGCGGGTTGCGCCCCATCTCTCAAGAACTGCGAGCTTATGTTAGAAAATTGGGGCGCTACTTCAGTTTGCTGGCCCCACTTATATATGGCCAAAACCTCATTTTTCTGGTTCAGTTTTTTGCGCTGATTACGGAAAACACTATCCCAGCCCACGAAAATGAAATCGTGAATTTTGAGGGGAGAAAACACTTGATTTTCGATTTTTCTGGTTTGAGTTTTTAAAGGGGGTCAACCCGGTGTTTTGATGCGGGAGGCCTATAAAACAGTGGAAAAGCTTTTTCCAACGAGGCTGAGCGATTGCATCCGCTTTTTTTCCTAAAAATAAGGCTTCGTGCCACCCCGGGGCCTAGTCGCTTCGGATGGGTGCGAGCTCGTACAGGGTTTCGAAATCGGGGCGCCCGAGGCGCGCGAAGCGGCCAGGCGCCCCGATTTCGAAAGAGTGGAGCGGCAGCCCATCCGAAGCGACGGCCCGCCTTGCCTGACAATGCTACTGGCTGACTTTATTCATGATAAACCCGTTTTTGGCCATTATTTAATTAAAAAACCACAAAAAGGCTCCTTTTACGCGACCGCCGTAAAATGGAATTTTCCCGACTTTCCAATTAAATTGTTTTACTAAATCGCATTTTCGTGGGCTGGGATAGTGTTTTCCGTAATCAGCGCAAAAAACTGAACCAGAAAAATGAGGTTTTGGCCATATATAAGTGGGGCCAGCAAACTGAAGTAGCGCCAAAATTGGCGCTGCAGACGATTATTTTGCACGCACTTAGTCAAATGCGGCTTTTCAGGCAATTTTTTGCTTTTGCAGTTACTGCAAAAACGTTGTAGTTTAATCGTCTTTCAATTTTTGAAGGGGGAATCTTGCGGAATTTTACGCCCTTTTAAAACCACGTTTTCTCATTTAAAATGCCGGATTCGCCGCGGAGAGCGCGCCAAAAGTCGGTGCTTAGTTCGAAAACAGCTTTTTTGCTTTCTTTTCTAGATATAGTTTTGTTCTAGGTTGCCTTCGCTGGGTTGTGGGTGGGTAGACTGTGTGGGTCCGCCCATGTACAAGCGCGTAATGGCCGGAGCGCTGGAGGGCGATATTTTCATAGGTAATCTCGTTTATGTAAATTAATTTGCCCTCTAGGCCCGAAGGCAAAAGACAATCGAGGTCTACTTTGCCTGCGCTATCCAATGGAGCACGGCATCGTGACGGATTGGAATGACATGGAGAAAGTGTGGCAATACATCTACAGCAAGGAACAGTTTAACGTAGGCAAATTTCGGTTTTAGTTCACGTTTTTCGTTGCAGGTTTTCCCCGAGGAGCATCCGGTCCTTCTAACCGAGGCCCCGCTCAATCCCAGCAAACACCGCGAGAAAGCCGCTGAAATCTTCGAAACGTTCAACGCCCCCGCGCTACACATCCAAATGCAAGCCGTGTTGGCGCTCTACGCCTCGGGAAGAACGACGGGAGTCATTGTCGATTCGGGCGACGGCGTCACGCCCATTGTCCCGATTTACGAGGGATTTGTCGTGCACCACGGGTTCGTTTTGCTCACTAAACTCTTCTGCCTCATGAAAAAGCGCTCCTTCTCTATTCCCCCATTTTAGCATCGAACGTATGGACGTGGCGGGCCGTGATGTCACCCGATTCCGGAGAATGCTTTTGCAAAAGGAGGGCCATAATCTACACACAAGCCCTGAGTTCGGGATTGTGCGCGAGATCAAGGAAAAATCTGCTATGTCGCCGCCAACTCGATCAAGGAAAAGCAGAATGCGGGTGATAAAGAGGTGAAATGGCATTTTCGATATAAAAAATTGGGTTCAGAAATGCCAACTGCGCGACGGGTCGTGGATGGATATGCGGAAATCACGATTCAGGGCACCTGAGGTCAGTTTCGTCTTGAGTTGCTTGCTGATAACTGCATTATTTGCCTCTTTCAGGTCCCTTTCCGGCCCGACATCATCGGCGAGGAATGGCCCGGCGTTGCCGTTTGTATCGACAACGCAATTCGGGTGAGGCAATTTTTTTTATTGACAGGATGTCCCAAAAAATACCTGCTTCCGCGGTCAGGGGGAAGAAGTTCTTAGAAGTCAATTTATTCGGGGGGAACCCTGTATCGATCGACTTGCACGGCAACTCTCTATTTTGCAGAAATGCGACATGGACCTGCGCCAGACCCTCTACGCCAACATTGTGCTCAGCGGCGGCTCAACGATGTTCCAAGGGTTCGGCACGCGATTGTTGGCAGAGGTAAGGCTTTTTGCTACTTTCAGGCGATATTTTGCTTTTATGAGAAGCGATCTGGTAATAAAGGATCCGTAATTTAGCGATACGGCCGGAATTCCTAAAATCCCCCAATTTTTTCAGATGCAAAAATTGGCACCGACCGACACGAAGGTCAAGTTTTCGGCGGCACAAGAACGCATTCATTCGACATGGATTGGCGGATATCGATTTTGGCTTCACTGGACACCTTTAGGTATTCACTTTTGCCTTTCTGTTTTTACCATTTCGTTTCAGGCGAATGTGGATGAGCAAGAGCGAGTACGAGGATGAGGGCAAGAAGATCATCCACAAGAAGTTCTTCTAGACGCCATCTCTACACGACCAAATAATAACTGATCCTCGTTATCACTTTTCGGTTTTTCTCTCGATACCATCCCCATCACCCTCTTCGCTCTGCTATCCTTCTGCTCGCCCCCATTTCTCTGGTGATATGCCCTGTGCTATCTGCTTACCCCCTGCCGATGTGGCGGTGGTTTTTTGTGTGTTTCCTCGTCCGCCACTTCGGATTGTCATAATTTATCGGATCGTAATTACGTGTTCGTGTTTATTTGTGACAAAGCGTACATGCATTATGCAACAATCGCACTCTTCGAAAGCACTTTGTACAACGTCTTTACATCTTCGCGTCGCGGTTCGGTGGGCGTGACGGTGGGCAGTTTGAGGACCGGGAATCCAAAGTCGACGTGCTTGTCCCATCGTCGCCGCACCGGCGCCAGCTCGATTTTTGTCTAGGATTAACGATATCGTAAAAGCTCACTCTAAAATCTATACCTCCTGCATGGTGCGCTTCGTCTTGGCCACAATGAAAGCCAGCAGCGGGTCGACGCGCATTTTTCCCCACTTGGCTTTCGCCATCGACACATCGGTCTTGACATTTTTGTAGGCGACTACCGGGCTCAGCTAAATCTCAGTTTTTCTTCCATTTTCAAAAAAAATTACCAATGACTTGTCCGACTTCAAAATGGCTTGGTAGAACCGGGCGCGCAACTTTCCCTCAGCCCGAGCCGCAGCTTCCGGCTCCTCCTAGAGCCATGATTTTTAATCGATGAAAGAATAGATACCTCTGCCTCGATGGCTTCCACCCAGCTGACCGCTCGCGTGCAGAATTTCTCGTCTATAGACTCCTAAACAATTTTAGATGTAGAAGAGAGGGTGGGACGAAACGAACTTTGTCAACACTCTCGATGTCCGGTATGAAGCTGATCAGCGCTTTGACGGCGTTCGAGATTCCGAATCCGGGAAGTCCCTCGCGATAATCGCATCCAGCGATGAGGGCAGCGACGCGAGCCACGCCAGGGACGATGCCTAACAAGTGAAAGTCTTTTTAAATTTTGATTGCTAAGATTTCCTGCTTTATTCTCAATTCTCAAAACGCAAGTTTTTCTTTTCGATCCAAAAAAAGTCATTTCTTGATTTCTCTAGAAGCTCTTCTAAAAAAATTCCAATCACTCACCCAGTTTCTTCAATCCGCCCAAATCCACAAGTCTTGGCTCTCCCGTGAAAAGTTTTCTGACCATCGGCACGCCGTCGAGCGCGAGCAGGTCGGAATCTTCGGTGTAGACGAGCTAAAATTCCCTTTGAATGAAATCCTCCATGAAAAACCGACATCGCATAGTTGATCCTTGACCAATTGGACGCACTGGTGCTCCGCTTCGCCGGGCGCTTCGATGAACGGGATGCCGAGCAGAGCAAAAAGAGTCTAAAATTTTCTCTTTTAACGTAACCGCTCTCATACCTTCAAATCCGAGTATTGGCCAGTTACTCGCTGTCCGGCTTCAGAATCCGGCAAATCTGGGCGCTCGAGTAGTGCTTCAGGATGATTTGGGACCCACTAAAACCCAAAAGAATAAAGAAAAACCCGGAAAAATACATTTTTATCGTCCGCCTCTGCTTCTCCATGTTCTGCCTTTGAGGTTGAGGGCTTCGGCTCGGTTTTCTGAAAATAGAAAAATCGAAAAAGCCAAACTCCCTCACCACTTCTTCCCACTCGTCGTCTTCGGAGGACGAGGACCAGTTGTCGAGCCCACTTTCGCGTGACGATTTTATGGCATCGCGCTGGTGCAGCCCCGTCATCACGTCTTCAATCGCCTGAAAGAAAAGAGAATATTGAATCTTGACATCCTTCAGAAGTTAGTTTGAGAAATAACAGCTCCACGCAAGCTCACCCTCGACTTGCTCTCCCAAGACGAGCCGGCAGTCAGCTTCGACGGGCCCTTCTTGCTCGGCGACAAATGCATGGGCTTCTTGAAGTTGCCGACCATCGCCATGTTCGCCGGGTCGACGCCGAGGTCTTTCTAAAAAAGGAACTTTGGTAATTTCCGTCATTTTTTATTTTCCTATTTTGTTTCAGTCAATTTTCTTTGAACTTCCTCCCCAAAAAATTTACGCCTGCAACTGGCTTTGGTGAAAATTTTCACTCTTCAGTAAAAATACGCTCATTACGCCCCGAACTGTCGGCCCGTGTGGTCTAGTGGTATGACAGGTAGACTGATAATCCGCCAGGTCCCGGGTTCGATTCCCGGCGTGGGCTCGACTTTTTGCTTTTCAAGAATTTCTTCGCTTTTTCCGTTTTTTTAATTGACGAGTTTGCGCGCACGAAAACCAACCAATCGTCTCGTTTCCAAAAAGTTGTACAACGAATTGTGGCACTCCTCTCTGCGCTTGTCATCCGTATCTTCTACGTAGTCTTCGTCGGCCACGGCGTCGTTGTCCAGCGCTGATCTGAAAGTGTATCTTATGCTTTTTCGTATGAAAACATTTTTATCCAAAAAATTCGACTACAATTAGTAGAAGCTTTTCGCTTCAGAAAACTCCCGAAAAACTAAGAATTCGTCGCTCACCTCGGCTTTTTAAACGGCACAACCATTTCTGAAGAGTTGGACGCCTCGTCTTCGTCCCTCAGGCAACTAAAGCAAAATTTTTTTACATCAGTCGATATCTCCAAAAGCTCACTCAAGGATGAAAGCCGTCAGCGCATCGTCCTCGTCCATTTCCAGTATCTTTTCCTCGCCGTGGTCCTCATCATCACTCTCCAGAATTATCACATCGTCGCTGTCGTCCAATGAAGAGTTGGCTGGTTGGCCTTGACTCGCCACGTATTCTAAAATACATTTTCTTGCTTTTCTAAGCGACCCATACCTTTCGCCGCGCGCTTCAGCTTCAATTTGGTGTCCCGAGGGAGTTGCGAACAGGTGGAGGCGGTTACTTGACGGTCTAACTAAAAAAAATTTAACTTAAAAAACCACAAGTTGACAGTACTGCCGCCGGTTTTGCATCTGAAAACCCAGAAAATCGGGGTTTTCCTATACAAAGTTCAGAGTCCTTTAAAAAAAGGAATTAACCTGTGTTCTACGCTTCTCCACTGCCACACTCGCCCCTTCAAAAACCATCAATGGCCGAATTCCGTGGGCCATCAAATGCAGCGTCCTCCGCAGCAATCCCCGCACCAAATCATTGCTGCCGGCCTCGAGCTGCTTGATGACGAGGGGTAGATCTAAATCTGTGTTTTTCAGGATTAAAAACCCGCTTACCGATCGCAATCCGGGCCCCTCTCAGCGCTGTGATCGAGATTGGCTGCGTGTAGCCGGCGGCCAGCTCCCAGCCGTCAGTTATTCCCATGCTCTGCAAATATACTAGTTTTTTTAGTCATTTCAAGGAATTTCCGAACGATTTTTGAAACAACACAAAAACCAGTCGTAACGGCGCATAACCTTATGAAATTCGCCGAGCTGCTAAAGCGTGCTCCCGACGGCTCTTTTTGGCGGCTCTCTCCGACAAAGGCCCTTTCTATCAATTAGGCCCCCCCCCGGATGACCGCCTTTTATTCGTGTTTCCACATAAATTTTGGGGGGTTACTTTAGCGCTGAAGGGCCATATGGACTGTTCGAAAAAGGGTGTTATTCTGCATTTTTAAACTACGACAAGCCATGACTAAAATTTCGAAAACCAAATTCAACAAATTTCAGGGCAACTGTTTCCTTTTTGGTTTCACATTTGACGCTCGAAAGTTTCAACTTCCAAAAATCCCATTTCAGTACGAAACTAGTCAATTTACAATGTCGAAGCATTTTTTGGTGTAGCGTGGACTCTTATAGTAGCATGACGTAGTGTAGTCCTTATGATTTCTTTTTATCTCATGCAAAACTGGCAACTTCAATCTTACTATTGTTTAGAAATGCGGGTCCAAGGCAAGATACGCCTGGAGAAGAACGGGAAGCTGGTGCAGAAGGAGGCCAGCGGTGCCCTCACGCTCTCCAGCCAAAAGAAGGGAGCAAACGGTCGGCCAGCCTACATCTTGAGTGTGCTGAAGCTGACCACCGGCGCCAAGCAGCGATGGGATTACCCGCTGGAGGCCAAAATGCCGGTCCAGCTGTTTGCGGCTCGAAAGGACCTGATGACGATCGTGTTGCCGCGCGAAGGAGTGACGATTTGTATCAACGGGGTCACGATGTCGCTTCATGTACGTTTTTCGGTTCTTTCGCATTATCGGGGGGACGAACTTTTTCATTAGAATCTCATTTTTCAAATATGAATATTCGACGTGTTTCGAAATGTTTTTTGCTATCCCTTATCGTTAAAGTTTACAAATTTGGAGTAAACAAATATCAAAAATATAACTTTTTTGCCAACAATGCCGACTTTTTGGAAGTTTTTAGATGTTTTTTCTGGTGGAAGTATAGTTACGTATTACTAAAATCACTATTAGAAGGCTTTTTACGAACCTACTAGGCATTCCTAGACTGACAAAAAAGTTCGGTACCCCGATGATGCAAAAGAACCCCGTTTTTCTATGATTTAGAACTAGATAGGATTCGATGATTGCTGAAATCTTATGACAACGCTGTTTTTCAGCTCTTCAAACTCCGCCAATCAATCGAGAAGATCCTCAAGGGCCAGCCGATTGACGACAACCTGCTCGAGGACTACGACCCGACCGCCAAGGCTCTAGCCGAAGTGCGAGCCATCCAGAAGCACATGACGATCAAGCAAAAATCGGATTATCCAAGAACCGAATTCCCCGAATCGCTTGAACGGTTGACTATCTCCGATGTCGCCCTGAGGAAGGTCGACGCCAAATGGTTCCGGTTGTCGCAACTGAGGGAGCTCGATCTCTCCAACAACAACCTGGGTCAAGCTCCGAATTTGCACTTGCTGAGCAACTTGCGGAGGCTGGAGAACTTGCAACTCCTCGATCTGAGCTCTAATGGGCTGACGGAGTTGCCGGATGGCTTGTGGGACGCGATCGGGCACGTGAGGAACCTGTCGTTGGCCAGGAATGATTTTACGGTGAGCTTAGCATGGCGAAATTTGTTAAGTTCTTTCGCAATACTGGGGGCGAACTTTTCTTGTCTAAGTCTAGAAGTCTAGAAATGTCTAATAACCTGAACAGGAAGTGTTTTAATAGCGTTTTGAGTTAAATATACCTATATTGCAACTACAAAAACTGTCTACAAATCTTTAAAAATGTTTGAAAAAGTCGCAAGTTTTGGTCGAGAAATTTATATTTGTGCAATTTTTTCATAAAGATTTGTCAATTGTCTACGTTCAAGCATAGAAAAAACAGCTTAGAAACGCTTCTGATAGCTATTTGAATTAGATCCTAAGAAAAAAGTTGCCCCCCCCCCCCCGATAATGCGAAACAACCGCCATTCTTTAAAACTGTATTTTCACAATAATTATTTTCCAGGTTCTCCCAAAAGGCCTCTACCAACTCCACAACCTCGCCTACCTGGCCATCGACCACAACCCGATCACCGAGTTGCCGAGCCAAATCGTCCTCCTCGAATCCCTCACGACGTTACGGGCCAATGATTGTCAACTTTTGCGGCTCCCCTACGCGCTTGAAAGTCGAAGGCCGCGCTTCTTGAGGCTGTACATCAGCGGCAATCCATTACTCCCGCCCCGCGATGGGCCAGACGAAGAGGGCGGCGACATGCCTTCTCTGTTCGAATACGCGCTGGTGGCCCTGAATCGGATGAACTTCGACTTTACCGACTTCCCCCAGCACATCATCGAGCAGCAGGAGAACCTCAAGATTTGCAGCATTTGCCATCGGGTGGTCCCCAGCTGTGCCATCTATCTGAAGAAGCAGCGCAGTGTGGTCGCTCGAAATTTGGCCGGCGACACCGACGTCAGCGGCTCACTCACGCTGGACTTGGACATTTGCGGAATCTGCAAAACTCAGCAATTCTAAACTGATCGCAATGTATATCTTTATGAGGTTGTGCAAAGTGTTAAATTCGATTTCCTTGTTCAATGACGGTATTGTTTTTGTAAAAAAAAATTGGCCGCGCTCGGGCCCCGTTCTCGCCCTAGTTTCGATCTCTCGTGCTTTTGACTCTTCCGGTTACAAATCTCGCATGGTCTCCTGAGCATCAGTTTTGCCAATATTTCTTCAGGTTCTTTCGCATTATCGGGGGGGGGATCAACTTTTTTTCTTCTGATCCAATTTTTCAAATAGAAATAGCGGAACCGTTTCTAAAATGTTTTTACGATTCCTGAACGTAAAACGTTTACAAATTTTTTTGGACCAAAACTTGACCGGAGTTGTCCTTTTTTGAAAATTTTTCAACGTTTTTGAGGTAGTTTTTCTAGTTGAAATATAGTTTTATTTTACAAGAAGCATTATAGAACTAGGGATTTCTACTAATACAAAAAAACTTGCCTCCCCCCCCCCCCGATAATGCGGAAGTACCATTCTTCTATTAGCTGTTAACTGGTTAATACACCAATTCCCCTTCCACTCTCCCCCTACCGCTAAACTTTCCAGTTACGGTTACTGCCCCGCGGGCCCCACCAAGGCCATAAATTGGCCATATTACACACAGCCCCCCCGATCTGATTAGAATACTGTTTGGACTGATTAGAATTCTACCATTTCCCTAATTTTGTATCTTCCCACGTTCTCTCGCGCCGTTGTGCAACAATTTACAGTTGTGGCAATAAATCGCACCGGTTTAGGATATTCCCCTCTTCGCGTGGATGTGCAAGGCAGGGCGGAAGACGACTGCCCGCCGGGAGTCGGATCCGCAAGGTGCGTTTCGTGGGCATTTTCTCAACTTTGGATTAGAAGAGGAAGATGGGCAGCTGGCCGGCGGCAGCACAACCGTCGCCTGTGAGCACCGGTCAAAGAAGAACCTCTTCGATACCAAGGTATTTGGCTAAACTCCAGCTCGTTCTTTCGCATTATCGGGCGGGGGGGCGGGGCAAGCTTTTTTCCTAATTTTTTCAAATACCAATAGTGAAACGATTTTTATTATTCGTGAACGGGAAAACTTTGCAAAATTTGGTAAAAAATATCGATTTTTCGAGCGAAAATTGCCGATTTTTGACAAAAAATTTCCACTTTTTGAAAACTTATTAGCGTTGGTTTTCTAATTCGAATATGGTTAGATTGTGTTATAAATAAGCTCCTAGGGATTTCTAGACTGGTACAAAAAAAGGTGTTGTAATTTTCTGGGTTAAGGAGGGCCCACGTAGATCAGCCAAAGGCCGGTGACGCGGGGAAAGGTGGTCTCTGCCTCGACGCCCTCTCTCGCCCTCTCTGACCCAGTTGGCTACCTGCCAATTATAGATGAGCCCTCATCTACGCGGGCCCTCCTTATCCCTTTAATTATTAATTTAAAATTTCGGCTTTTCTACTTTGAGTTTTTATCTTTTGTTATTTTTTCGGCTCGCATGTAATTTATTCTTACTAGTTATGCCAGGGAGTAAACCTGATTTTTAGTCATGCTGCAAAAAGTTGAAGAACATGTGCCCCATCCAGTGCGACTCGTGCGCCAGGAATAAGGACAAGAATCCAGAAGCCGCTCAGGTAACAAGAATGGCTTTTGGAAAAAAATAGTTTTTTTTAGGCCTCGCCGCTTCCGCTGACAATGTGCACCGCGTGCGCCGAAGTGATGTGCCCGGCGCACGCGCTCGACCATCAGAACGCGGAGCGTACCGGGGAATGCCACGTGCTGGCCGTCATCCTATCTTCTGAATTCAGTGTTAGGTAAGGATTTTTCGGGTCTGGCCTGTTAGCGGGGGGCATACAAAATTTTTCACTGTGAATCTCTAATTTTCGAATTTTCAAACTAAAAAAATAGTTTTTATAACTTTATAGTTTCTAGCAACCTCCCTCCCCCCACTCCGCTAACAGATCAAAACCGGATTTTCGATAGCTTTTCGCTGTCGCAATTTGAGGTTTACATAAATTTTTTGAGGTGTTCTCGCTGCGATTGCGATCTACATCCCGAAGACGCGACGGGACGCAAGGACTTTGTCAAGCAACTGCTCGATCAACTCGCCAACAAGCAGCCAGCCGTATGCACCCAAAAACATGCTAATGTTTGTCTAGGCTGCAAAAGCCAGCAAAACCAATGGCACCTCCAAGCAGGCGCCCGTCGCTGAAGCCGAAGAGGTGCATGAAGACGCCGAATCGACGAGCGAGGTGGCCGTCAACGGGAAAAGCAACAAGTATTTTCTAAAATTCAATGCGTTTTACGTTTTCTAGGCCCGATAAAAAGGACAAGAAGGACAAGAAAAAGGCCAAAGAGAAGGAGGATACGCCGGAACACTTGTCTGTGCCGAAGGTATCCAAATGATGTGTCTATTGATGCCCTTTCTAGGGCCTCACAAACCTTGGCAATACCTGTTACTTCAACTCGGTGACCCAGTCGATCATGTTCACCTACCCGATGTCGTTCTATTATGAAAAGTGGGAATTTTTAATTCAGGGGTGTAAAATTGAAGTGTTCAGCTTTGGCGCCGTCAAGGAGCTCGTGTTCACGAAGCAGGAGATCAAGGTCGACGATAAATCTGTAGAAATTGAGGTAGATTTATCTCTTTTTTTTGGAACGCAAATCTTAGGCTTGTGATGTGAAGACGTCGGTGAATAATCGGACGATGAATGATGCCCTGAAACAGTTGGCACTGGATTACGTGAATGTGAGATAATTGACCGAGTTTTTGACAGCAAAAGATCTGGTTGTTTGGCATTATCGGGCAGGGGGAAAGGCTTTTTTCTTGGGAATCACTTTTGTAAACAGAAATAGCGCAAGTCGTTCTAAACTGGTTTTTTTTTTGTTGTTTCGAGACGTAAAAACTGACAAATTTTCGTTAAAGAATGCAACGATTTTTTTTGACCAAAATTTTGACTTTTTGAAAACTTTTTTTAACAGTTTTGGATATTCTCTTCGATAATGCGTCTATTAAAACAAAAACATCTATCTAAAATACGGACAAAACCAACTATTGTACCGACAGGACCGAACTTTTCTAGGCGCGCAGCGGCCTGACGCCCACCAAGCTCGTCTCGCAGATCCAGAGCAAGGGCAAGATCCGCGTCTACCAGCAACAAGATTCTCACGAGCTTTTACGGTATATAAATTTTTGGCTTGAGGAAAGTGTTTTTAAGTTACCTGCTCGACGCGCTGCGCAGCGAGGAGCTCGACGCCTACAAGAAGTCCATCCACGAAATTGTCCCGTTGGGAGACAAGGGCAAGGGAAAGTCAGAAGATCTTGAGCTGCGCCGCCAGCATAAAGGTACCTGACGCCGGCTATTTCCCGTTTATCACGTGTTTTAGCGTACTTGGAAGCCGCCGGGCGCCCGCTGCTCGACTCGATCTTTGGGGGACGCTTGCAGCAGACGATCCGCTGCTCGAAATGCGGGCACATCAGTCAACAGTGAGACCTTACCTTGATCCCATAGCCAGGACACGCGAAGCCCGGGTTTCGCATTATCCGGGGGGGGGGGGCGACTTTTTTTCTTAGGATCTAGTTTTTTCAAATATAAACTACAAATATCGCTTTGCAAATTTTGATTTGATAAATATCTATTTTTCGACCAAAATGTCGACTTTTTCAATATTTTTTAAAGTTTTAGGTGGTTTTTCTAGTGGACCTATGATTAGGGATCACTAAAAACACTTTCTATTAACTGACCACGCATTCTAGACTTAAATAAAAATTGTACGCCCCCCCCCCCGATAATGCGAAAGAGCCGAAGTACGAAGAGAGAGAACTCGTAACAGCCATATTTAACGAATCCGAATCTCGAAATCGACAGTAAAACCCGAAAAGACAACGACAGCACCTATTGGCATTTTACCCTCTAGTGTTAGCATTAAAAACACATTTTTTTTTATCTGAATGCGTCCTCGACATCGGTAGCCAAAACAAACAGTAAAAACATCTACAAAACACGATGCCCAAATGTTAGCCTTTTTCTCTATCTTTGTCGCTGAAAATACAGTTTTTTTAGACCTGAAAGCTTCCTGGACCTCTCCCTGCCCGTCCCCTCGGAACATCGCGCGGCCGGCGGGAAAGAGAACAAGGGCAAGCGCAACACCAAGGCCAAGCATACGAACGGCTCGGACAGTTCGCCAATGATTGATGACCAGTTCAACAACATGGAGCTCGACGACCATGAGATCTCGGTCGGGTTCACGGTGAGCTTTTTTTAAGCATCTTGTTTACCTCCTTTTTGTCTAGGAAACCCTCGTGGAGTGCCCGGAGGAATTTGAGAGCGGCCGCAACATTGGCCACTACATGCGCCTCTTCATGGCCGAGGAGACGCTCGACGGCGTCAACAAGTACGAGTGCGAGAAGTGCTGCCTGCCACAGAACAAGAAGGTGCTTATTGGGTTCTGGATTAAATGTAAAAGCCTTTTTTAGAATGGTCTCACCGGGGCCAACAAGCACCGCGAAGTCGCCATCAAGCGCTACCTGATCTGGGAGCCGCCCACCATCCTCACGCTGCACCTCAAGCGCTTTTCGCAGGGATTCGGCGGCCGGGGAGGACTCCAGAAGATTTGTAAGTTTTTTCAGTCGTCACTACTTTGGAAATGATAATTTTTCAAGTTGCGTTGCTATTGCTTACTGTTGGCAATTTAGGTCCTGTCCTAGTTTTAGCGAGACAATAATTTGTCGTAATTTGAGTTTTGCGAAAAAGAAGTCTCGAAGGTGATTTTCGGAAAAGTGTTTTTCGATAAAGTGTATCCAAATCTTGTGCTTGACTGGCTTGACTATCTTTCTGTTTCGTGATTTGCATGCATCTTACTAGTCGCCTTTTGCTGCGGAACTCAACACGCAACAACTCTGCCGCCTGCATCTCATCGACTAACTCATTTTCCGATCATTCGCTCATCAACGTGCGCTCGGCTTTCGGCTGGGCGTCATCACCGAGCAGTCCGACCATCACCAAGATTTGTGTGTAGCCTTTTTTAGCTTGTCCTTTTTTCCTCGATCCACCATGCTGTTTTTACCAGCTCTTCATGCTATTTTCATTTTCAGCTGGCCACATCGACTTCCCGGAAGTGTTCGACATTGCCCCGTTCTGCTGCAAAAACGTCGAGGTTGTGTCGGGTCACATTTTAATCGTTTTTTTGCAGCGCGTGAAGCCGGGCGGCCAGCGCAAGATTCTCTACGCCGTCTACGCCATCGTCTGCCACTCGGGGACGATGCACAGCGGCCACTACATTGCCTACGTCAAGAGCCGTGCCCGGATTCCGCAGGTAACCGAGCGTTTGTGTGTATAGCGTTTGTCATTCTCAGGCTCAACTTTTCATCGAATGTGCACGCCTGCGATGTGCAGATCTGCAGGCGAAGGGCAAGCCCGAGGAGCTGCAGACGATGCGCGAAAAGGTCGAGGACGCGCTCGAGCAGGTTGTTTAGCTTTCGAGGTTTTCAAACTGCGTGGCATTCTAGAATGCCAACGCTGAACGCTTCGATGCCCCGGACGGTCAGTGGTACTACATCTCGGATTCGACCGTTAGCCGGGTAATTTTTGGCTTTTTCAGGTTCTTTCGCACAATGTGGGTGCGTACTTTTCCCCGAGAAGAAAAAAATGAAAAAAAGGAACTTGGTTCCTCCCTCGATAGTGCGAAAGCTCTTTTTTTAATCTTAGGACGAGTATCTTACTGTCACTCTTTCAGGTCTCCCGCGACAAGGCCCTCGGCTCCGAGGCGTACATCCTCTTCTACGAGCGCATCCACTAGCAGCACTCGGGCCACCACCACCCGACACTTGCACCACCACCATACTAGTTCTTTTACTTACTGTGTGCGCCATTTTCACTGTTTATGCCGTTTTGTGTCCCCATTTAGATCAATTAACAAATTGCATTCCGCGCGCGCTTTCGCCCCCGATCCCGTTGATGATGTTCCCCTGCTGCGTGGTTGCTTTGGCCTTTTAGCTTACAGTGTGTTTCTGTTGTCTGCGTCGATTTTCCTACCGCCCGGTTAACTTTGCTTCTGTGTGCACTTTTGTGATAATGGGTACTGGACCGTTGGCGCGGGAGCTAGCCTAAATTTTTGGCGTCAAAACATTTTTATCAGAAAATTTTCGATATCAAAAAATAAAAATTGACCTTTTCTGTGATTTTTGACGCAACCTTTAATTTTTAGGAAGTTTTCGCATTTATCGGAAATGGTTTTAGGACCGAAAACATTTTTAATTAATGAACTTCATTTTAGATAGGAAAATCCAGAAAATGGAGCATTTTATAGATTTTGGAGGCAACATTTAGGGCGTTAGACCAAATCCGCTAAATTTAAGCTCCCCCGCTAACGGTCCAGCACCCGAAACGGCTAGACGGTCGCGTGGCCCGTTTATGTTAAGACCCAGCTTCCTTCCCCATCCTACTCCACATGGTTGAACATCTACTTCGTATTTGATAAAACCATTGGCGATGCTGCCGAACATTTCCCCGACCCCCGTTAAAAATCTCGTCTGAATGCTATCTTGGCCCGGTGTGTGCTCTCGCCTCCCCAAAAAATCGATGTCCCATCCCCCAAGTCAATGATTGTGATCAATTTGCCTATTGCTGTTCCGCGACGGGTTTGCGTGTTCAACGGCTCCCCGGAAGTGGGCGCGCCACGCTGTGCTGCAACTCCGGCGGCGGCGCGCGCGCGTTTTTCTGCCGGGGCAGCGCTTTAGGAAAGTAATTACAGTTATGTGCTTGCTCCATTGAAACTTTGATGAGCTATTTGAATAAAGTTTTATATCCCCCTGTTACTTTGGTGGTTGGCTTGATGTCGTGGCATTGTCGACGCTTATTTAATGAAAGTTCATCCTCCGTCCTCAATGACATATTTTTAGTGGCGATTGAGTTTTTACAGGAGACCAAGTTGCAGAATTTTGCGCTCCAGAATATTTTTGGAAAATCGGCGGTTCTGTTCTATTTCGCGGGGGGGGAATTTCTTCGTTTTGTTATAACTCTTTTATATGATGCTATTTTGAGTTGTAATTAAAACTCTTAGTATATTTTTTGACGCACTATCGAATGGCATTAAAGAAATTTTTGAAAGTTATCGAAAATGTCGAAAACTAGCTTTCGACTACACGATCCCATGAGGAAACACCGAATAAACCTTGTTTTTGCTATAACTATTTTATAAAGCAATATTTTTAGATGAAATTAAAACTCTTAATATATTTTTTGATGCTCTATCGAATGACGGGTTCAAAATATCGAAAAAATGGCGAAAATGCCGAAAACTAGCATTCCGGAACCAGTTTCAATAGTTTTTTTGTTTTTCCTATAACTTTTTTATATTACAATATTTTTAGCTAAAACAAAAACTCTTAGTATATTTTTTGATGCTCTATCGAATGGCGTTGCAAAAATCCCGAGAAAATAGCGAAAAGATGGAAGGTTCCGCGAAGCATATTTTCCCCCCCCCCCCCCCGCACAGTTTTTTCCCCCCCGCGAAATAGAACAGAACCAAATCGGCGAAACGACCAGGTCAAGGAAATGATGATGCTTTTTAGTGTGAAAAAGGCTCGAAATTACCCAATTATCAGGATTTTCGCAATGAAAGCTTGGTACTATTCAAGTTCGGGGGGGGCAAAATTTTTTTGGGTCATTTTCGGTCTTTCTTCTTAGTTTTTCTTAGCGCTTAGCTTAGTATTGGTTTAGTTTAGGCTCAGGCTTAGCTTAGCCAAGACTTAGGCTTAGCTTAGCCTAAGCCTAGGCTTAGCTTCTGGGCGGGGCGAACTACCCTCGCCTGAGCTTAGCTTTACTTAGCTTCGCTGTTTTTGGCTTCGGCTTAGCTCTGTTCAAGCTCGATTTAGCTGAGCTTCAGCTTAGCTTAGCTTAGAAGTAGAGCATTGCGCTTGATTAGCCGTGAAAAACCGCAAAAGTAGCCCAAAAATGACATCGAAAAAAATTTTGCCCCCCCCTAACTTGAATAGTACCGAAAGCTTCATAACTGGTCGTTTCGCAGATTTTCAAAAAATATTCGGAATCAGCACAAGATACGTTTGATCCCTTGTGGAAACTAGATTGTCACTAAAAAATGGAATCGAACTTCCAGTTTTTGTTGAAAATATTGGTTTTTATTCTCGACACCTTGTAGGAAACTCTAAATAACTAATGAATTTCAGTGCCATTCGGAGGCGATGGACGACGACACGGTGACGAAGCAAATCGAGCCGATACTCGTCGATGAAGCCCAGCCCTGTTCAATCGTGCGACTTTCACGGCGAGCCAACTGCCCGGTCACTCAAGCTTCTAGGTGAGATACCTTTTTCAGGTGAATCCGTATTTTTCAGATGCCTCGCGGAATTCTACTCGGTTAAAAAGAACAAACTCAACGGCCTCGAAGCCGTCCACCTCATAAAGGGATTTGCGGAACGGGAAGGTAGGCAACCAAAGCTTTTTTTCGGTTCTTTCTCATTATCCGGGGGAGGGGGGACCTAACCGAACTTTTTGGTGTACGTCTAGAAACGTCTAGTAGCATAAGAGGAAGTGTTTGAAGTTAAATATAACTATGTTGCAACTAGGAAAATGATCTCAAAGCTACAACAAGATTTTAAAAAGTTGATATTTTGGGTTCGAAAATCGGTCCTTTTTGGTCGAAGAATCAATCAATACCTTTGATCGTTATGAATAGAAATTTTTAAGGTTTTTGCGTTTAGGGATAGTGAAAACCTTTTAGAACCGGTTCACCAATTATATCTGAAAATCAGATCTTAGGAAAACAGTTGGGTCCCCCCTCCCCAGTGCAAAAGAACCCTATTTTCATTTCTTTAATTCCTAGGTATTGCCGCTGAGGTTATCAAATTGGTGCGAGCATCGGACCTGCGGGATGAGCTGGGCTTTCTCACAACGGCGCTCGACCAGGGAATCTATGCCCTGTCAATTGGGCGGATTGAGGACTTGCCGACGCTGCTACGCTCCGATCATCTGGATACGCCGAAATATCTTTTGTGAGTTTCCAGTATTCAATTGAAAGTCCGTTTTTCAGCTTAGACCCCAAACTCTCATGCGTCGACGGCGAGGACTTGGCGAGCGAGTTCCGCTCAAAAATGAGCGCCACAAATGCGGCAGATCGTGAGTCGGCCATGGCTGCACGAGAGGTATGTTTTTTTGGGATTTAACTACCTTTTCTAGGCGTTTGTCCTCGAACAAGAGAAAGCGGTTGCGGCCAGCATGCGCAAAAAGGACAGGGGGCCACCGACAATCCAGAAAATGTTCGCCAAAGCGAGGATGGCATCGCCGCAGGTTTTTTTTGCAATTGTATTTCGTTATTTTGCTTAGAAAGCTCGACCGCCTGCCCGAACATCACCGGCCAAACCTCCAAGCGTCAAATCAGACGAGGACGTCGAATCCGAGGAAGAGCCCGAAACCCCGCCACCACCAAAGTGATTTTTTTTTATCATAATTCTATTGTCAACTTTTAGGAAACGTGGAGCCAAGCGGGTCATCGTCAGCGATTCCGAAGACTCCTACGACCAGGCGCCCACCACATCAAAGACGAAGACACCAGTGAAAAAGACGGCCGAACGTAAGAACCTTGTTTTTTTTTTCTATTCCATTTTTATTAGCTTCCTCCTACGACGACATATTCGACGCCAATGATTCGTCGCCTGAGAAAAGCGCCCCGGCTTCACCCGAGATCAGAACGCCTCCAAAGAAGAGGCAGAAGAAGCCCGAGGCTAGCGGGTCGAAGAAGGGCCAGGCGAAGCTAGATGGTGGGAATTATATTATTTTAGTGGTTATTTCACATTATCGGGGATGGGGGGGGGGGGCAGCTTTTGCCCCTGTAAGCCCAGAAATGTCTAGTAGCGTAATATTAAGTGTTTTCATAGTTTTTAATTCAAATTTTACCGAATTTCAAGTGGGAAAACAATACAAAAACTTACAAATCTTTTTGGTTAAAATCTTGCCATTTTCGGTAAAAAAATCGATATCTTTTTGAATTTTTTTGGGGTTTTAGAGAAATTTGTAATATTTTGGCTATTAGCAATATTCAAAAACACTTTACAAAAACTTCCACCCTGAATATCAAAAAAGATGGTCCCCTGATAATGCCAAAGAACCCTTTTATTGTTTGGATTGCTTCAGGAAATGCCAAGAAAATGCCCTCCCAAGATAGCAGCTCGCCTGATCGAATGGATACGACGATGGTTCAGGAGAGGGGGTAATTTTGGATTTGCGTTTCTGGAAATTTTCCTTAGATCGAAGAAGAAGACGGTGCTGGTTCACGGCCAGGAAACGGTGATGGACGAGGACGGATATCTGGGTAAATGCGAAAATTCAGCTTCGTAATTATTTTATTTAGTAACCCGACCCGCAATGGTCGAAAAAGAGGTGGACGAGGAGTCCGAGGCCGCCGAAGAAGCGAAAAAGAAAGAGGTAAGAAATTTTTGGTTCTTTCGCATTATTGGGCAGCAACTAGGGTTGTTTCTCGGAACAGGCCGAGATTCGGAACATTCGGAACAGCAACCGTTCCGACTGTTCCGAATGTCGGAACGGTCCGAGATTCGCGTGTTCCGGCTGTTCCGAGATTCGGAACAGTCCGAGATTCAAATGTTGCGGTTGTTCCGAGATTCATAGTGTTCCGACTGTTCCGAGATTCGGAACGTTCCGAGATTTGGCTGTTCCGACTGTTCCGAGATTCGGAACAGCCCGAGATTGAGCTGTTCCGAGATTCAAATTTTTTCGCATGTAAATTTCCAAACGCGACTGAATTTCGATTCGATTCGATCCCCAATTCGTTCTCATCGGAAGACGACGGAATTAAGTGTTCAGTTGCGCCCACACTGCCGTGTCACGGCAAAATCGAAACAGTTACATGCAATCTACACAATTTACACGAAATCGAAATTTACATGCGAAAAAATTTGAATCTCGGAACAGCTCAATCTCGGACTGTTCCGAATCTCGGAACAGTCGGAACAGCCAAATCTCGGAACGTTCCGAATCTCGGAACAGTCGGAACACTATGAATCTCGGAACAACCGCAACATTTGAATCTCGGACTGTTCCGAATCTCGGAACAGCCGGAACACGCGAATCTCGGACCGTTCCGACCAGTCTTTGTTCCGAAAGTTCCGAATCTCGGTCTGTTCCGAGAAACAACCCTAGCAGCAACTCTTTTTCTTATAAGCTAATTTTTCAAATGCAAACAGCGGAAGTGCTTCTAAACGGTTTTTCTACAATTGCTAAACGTAAAAATTCGCAAAATTTTATTAAAAAAATAAAAAATATCGATTTTTCGACCAAAAATGGCCGAACCTCGCTTTTGGAAAATTTTTTATGGTGTTTAGATGGTTTTTCTAGGGGAAATATGGCTGTATTTTACTGAAAACACTGAAGAGCCTTCATATTAAGTCACTAGGCCTCTCTAGTTTTATACAAAAGTTTTTGCCCCCCCCGATAAAGCGACAGAACCATTTTTTATAAGAACTTATGTTTCACGACTGTAGACGCGAACTCTGAAACCTGCCGGCAACGTCCCAACTTCCGGAAAGCCCGCCGCGGCCGCCGCAGCCAACAAGGCAAGCAAGCCGGCCGGCCAACGCGGAATCGCCTCGTTCTTCCAGAAGAAATAATACCACTTTTTAAACGTAATCTGTGCTACCCCCGCGGCTCAATCCCCCTTTACCTGACATGCAGATCTCGATTTGATGCCCGTACCCCTACCCTGACCAAGCTTGTTGATACGTTTTCCCCCCTTTCCCTGCCCCCCTTGAAACGTGTAGCTCTGCCTTTCCGGTTCGCCTCTCCGGTAGCCCCTGACCCACCTTTTTCACATACATGCAAATTTCCCGAATGCTTTCCAGAATAAAGTTCTCCCCGAACGTTTCCTCAGTGGCCATCTAATTGCATTTCATGTTGCGAAATTTACATCCGTCAACTTTGCACAATGTTGCGAGGGGAAGCGGGTTTTTCGGGCCGGCATCCTTCATTTCGTGTTCCTCTGCAACCCTTGGTGAGTTCCTTGCTTTTTACGGTCTAGATAGGATTCCTAGTAGGGATGAGTCTGTTTTTCGAAGGCTAGCTGCGTTTCACCAGTTTTTTAACGTTGGATCAACAGTTGCTTGCCTTTTTTCTGCGTCTATTTAGAGTTTCACGAGTTTTTTTAGCGGGGGGATGAAGTGTTTCTTGCTTTTCGAGGCGGCTGGTTCGCTTTTAAATATTTTTAGTGCCTGATAAACAGTTTCTTGCATTTTTTCAGACGCTAGTTAGATTCTCACTAGTTTGTTTAGCGGGGATGAAGTGTTTCTCGCCTTTTCTAGGCGGCTAGTTACACTCTTATATTTTTTTATGACGGATGAACAGTTTTTTTTACTTTGCCCGAGGCTAGCTAGAGTTTCACTGGTTTCACTGGGATGAAGAGTTCCTTGAATTTTAATAAAGGCTAGTTGAAGTGAATTTGTTTTAGGGACGCAAGAAGGTGTGTTCAGATTATTCCTTGGCTAAAACTTTGTTGAATCGCACTATCCTCGTATCTGTATTATTTACGCTTAAGCGTGGCGCTCTTGTCTTGGCCATTCTAGGGGCTGCCCGTTGATGGTAGTAGTCCCTCGTTGGTGATAAGATAGGGTTCTGTGTATTGCCGCCATATTGCCGCTGTCAATCGCGCATTCCGTGGCGCGCTGTCCGTTATGTTGCGATGCCACGGGCAGACGTCAATTTCAAGAACCAGACTCATTGCTGCACTTTTAATACGATTTTCGGTTTTTTTCGCATTATCGGGAATCACATTTCTTTGTATGTACACTTATGGATACTTAAACACGTCTAGAAGTGTCTAGTAATTTTATAGGCAGAATTTTAATAGCGTATTTAGCAAAATTAAACTATATTTGAGCTAGAAAAACTATTAAAAACTTGAAAAATTCGATAAATCTTAAAAAAGGGCCTTTTTTGATCGAAAAATTTATACCTTTTGGATGTTGTAATAAAAATTGTACCGATTTTCGGTTAGGTTTCGTGAAAACCGTCTCTAGACACTTCAGCTATTTATATTTTGAAAATTGGGTCATTAGATAAAATCCCCCGATAATGCGAAAGGGCCCAAAATTTCATATCCAGGATTTTCTGTGCGCCCTGTACTTGCCGAGCTTCAGCAGGGCACAATTGCCCACTGAAATCCCATCCGCCAACCGCGATCAAAAGGGCACACTGCACCCCCCTCGGCGCGAGATCCGTTCGTAAAGTTCCGATGGTCGGCCGCGGCGAGCGTGTGTGTGCTGGGAGGTCCAACAGGGCCCAAATCCACAGCGCAGCTGTTGATGACGGTGCTTGTGCGAGATGGGGGGAGTGAAAAAGAAGAAAGAAGAACGGGAGGGCCCCGAGGGCACTGGCCCTCTGGCCACCGCCGAGTGGACATGCTGTGCTGGTCACGGCCCAGCGGGGTTCGTACTGTAGGCTGCTTTTAGTTAGACGTAGGGTTAGAGCTTTTGCTACATGGTGTTGATTTTTAGGCTTGAAAAGCAGCCTTTGATGCTGTCTCCGCTTTGCTTTTTTAGAGTGCGCTGATTTTCAGGTTCTCAGCGATCTCGCAGTTCCGTTTCAAAGCACCTCCATAAAAATTGCGCGCGCTGCGTGTCGGCAGTCGTAAAGAACGTCGAAACCCATCTTAGAAATATATACAGGGTGTCCCAAAAAAAAATCGACCCCCCTCTAGCGGACCGCAGAAAGCTCGGATCGGAATGATTTTCACACCATTCGAAAGCCCTTCAAACGGTGAGAAAACAAGCGCCTTTGGTTTTCCAAAAAATTTTAGCCTTCGCTCGATATTCAATGATTTCTGTAAAAAGCGTAAAACCAGCATCGTCCTGTTTGCTTTAGCAAGCAATTAACATGCCGATTTTGCATAAAATCTGCGGTTTTCATCGATTTTGGCCCTAAATTTAATGAATTAAAATTCCCATATTGAAAAACGAAAAGTGCTTGTTTTCTCGCCTTTTCGAGTGCTTTCGATAGATACCTAAATCGTCAAAATCGGACATGACTGCGGCCCGCTAGGGGGGGGGGTCGATTTTTTTTTGGGACACCCTGTAGATTAGACCGCTGTAAGGTCGTTTTTTATCGCTGGCGATGTTTTGCAAGATCGAATTTTGAAAAACTATGGTAGATTGGGGCTTCCTAGGGCGTTTTTAAATGTTTTAATCATTAAATTGGTACGACCGAGCTGGTAAGAGCAGTCCGGGGTTTTTAAAACGCAAAATGGGGGCCGCAGAGCTACTTTTACGCAAATTTCGATAGTTTTCCACGGGGTCCGGAAGCAAAGGACCTTTTTTTCGTGATTCGCTGAAAAATGGTTCGCGCAATTCCTGATATCCGCATCAAATTGCTGCACGGGATCCCCAGCGCTGGCTCGTATTGTCCAAACGTACTTTTCGGCCCACATAAGCACGCGGCAAACTTGGCAAAAACTTCGCCGCGCAGAGTCGCGACATCTGGCCACCCGCGTGGCCCTGTGGGTCAGTGCTGGGCCCCCGTTGCTCGTCGACGAGGAGGTCGTTGTCCATCCACCCAGTAGCCCCTCAGCACCACACCAGCGCAGCCCCCCTTGCTCGGCCGCTACCCTCGCAAACGCACAACATACTCTCCGCCTCCTCCCCTCGCAGCAGCGTCCCATCCAATCGATCGCCACAACGCCCCCCGCGCCTCCACCAACCAGCCGTACCTTCGCCAACACCCTCCTCGTCCCCTAGCCCGAGGTCTCTACGCCGGGCTCTCTGTGGTCATCTCGCGCCTCGCGTCGTCGTGGGGGCGGGCGCCGGGGCTCGCGCCAAATTTTCGACGACCCCGCCCGAGAAAGTTTTTTGCGCGTTGCGTGCTCTCCGCCGGGCGCGCACGTTTTTTTGGGAGTTGAATTGGGGTGCCCGGGGCACAGAAGAGCCTGTGTCGTTGCCAGCTATTTGTTTTGCCAGTTTTGTTAAGAAGCTTGTTTACTTGGCCTGCTTTGATAGGTGTTTCGATTATCGCAAGATAGTTCGAAGCCAAACGGGTTAAACCGAGAAAGGCATCTTTTCACCTTTGCTGCTTATTGAAACCGACAAATTAAATGGTTACTAGTCGTTTTATGGTTTGTGTTGCTTTTGAAGCCGGTTCTATTCGGCTTGCTTGTGCTAGACATTCCCAAGGGCTATTTAGTTAGGAGCTCTTCCGAATTTGGGCTACGGTTTACTTTACCCCCCAGCCGAACGGTTTTGGCTATAACTTTTTTATTTTACATTATTGTAGGCTCAAATTAAAACTCTTAGTATATTTTTCGACGCTCTATCGAATGGCGTTGCGAAAATCCCGACAAAATAAGCGAAAATACCGACAACTTTGAGACCCTTCGGCTGTGGGGGGGTAAAGTAAACTCTTACCCGAATTTGGCTCCTCCTTGCTAGAAATTAATTTGGTTTTGGACGTTTTATGGCTTGTTTTGGCCTTGAAACCGCTTTTATTTGATTTGCTGCTGTTCTAAGCCTTTTTCGATGTTAATCCCCCCGCCAATGGTTTGAACACTTCCGCTTGTTGACCTTCTCGCAGTGCCGCATAGCTTTACCGCGTTTCAGCCGCCCTCTTATCTATTCCACTTTCAGGCGGGCGCCCACACGTCAACTGGTTCAATTAACTATTCGTTCACCGCGCAGATGCTTGCCGTTTGAATGCGCGCCTCTCGTGTACCCGGGCCCACGAAAAAATTCCTTCACATCGCCATTCAAAGCTCGCGCCATCCCCCCAAAACACTGCTGCCCCCCATTCCCATCGCTCTCGCTCGCTGTGGCCCGCATGCGGTGCTCGTTTTCGACATTCTAAACCCCGGCGCCATCCCCCGCCGGGGCTTCTCCATGAACTGAATTAATGTGCTCTGGCCAGTTGGGGCGCGAGCGGGCAGCAGCCCTTTTTGCCCCTTGACACCCGGATTCGATCAATTGCCGATTGGCGGAAACGGGAGGGAGGGGCCACGTTTTATTATCCCCTTTTTTGTTATGGGCGAGATTGCCCTATAGCGTTGCCGTTCCGGGTCTCGTCGCGACTTTTGCCCTGTTTGGAAATCATTCAGACCGCGGGACCGACGGATTTTTAGTTTAGCTTGCTAGCCCTGTGATCGTTTCCGTTTCGACCCCAATTTTCGCTTAGATTAGTGGCTCGGGCTGCCCATTTCGTCCGTCATTCAGTTTCAAGTAGCGGGGTCCCCTCGAACCGAGTAGCCGCCGTTGTTTACCCAGCTGAGACCCTCTTTCCTTCGAAACGAAACGCTTAATCGTGTCACCTTGGTGTTTCCGGTTCTAAATTCTCGTTCACTTGGTTCAAGACTATTCCCATCTTGATTAACATCATCTATTTTCAGCCGTGTAACATCGCTGCTAGGCGCCAGGGAGCTCAGCTCTTCCATCAGCTAACCAACCGGTAACAACAGTCAGCACAGCGCCCAAACAATGAGCGACAAGACCGTGAGTTTTTTTTGCTGAGAAAACTTTCACTTTCTCGTGTTCCTTTTTTTTTAGTTTAACTTTTCTTTTAGGAAGACAAGAAGCAGCAGTCGGCCGAAAACAACGGCGGCGAGCCAGAGGCCGAGAAGCCGGTGGTGGCCCGCGCCGTCTCCGGAACCGTCAAGTGGTTCAACGTCAAGAACGGATACGGTTTCATCAACCGGTGCGTCGCTTCTTTGAAGTTTTTGAGATAAATCCTTCTTTTTCAGCAAGGACACCAACGAGGACATCTTCGTCCACCAGACCGCCATCACCAAGAACAACCCGAACAAGTACCTGCGCTCGCTCGGCGATGGCGAGGAGGTCCAGTTCGACGTCGTCACCGGCAGCAAGGGCCCCGAGGCGGCCAACGTGAGCGGCCCCGAGGGTGGCCCCGTCCAGGGCAGCAAGTACGCCGCCGACCGTGGGGCCGAGCGTGGAGGATTCCGCCGCAGGTATCGGATTTTTTTCGGCTTTACATGTGTTTTTTTACGCAGGGACTTGCCTTACTTGAAACTGACCGAGTCTATCTCGCACAGAATTTTACTTGAATTCCGAATCTTCTGTCAGAAATGGCCAAAAAATCTGAAAATTAACAAAGTGTCTTGGCCTCTGCAACAAAAAAAGCCCTATTTTCTAGCTGCGAAAATCGTAAATTGTTAAAGGTTTTTGCGTTAAAGAACACTAAAAGGCTTTGTCAGTTTTTCAACGGCGTCTTCCCGCACTAAAACAGACCTGGAATCACCGTAAATTCCTGCATACGAAAGGCTGAAAGGCTATCCGAAGAAAAAACCTTTCCTGTTGGATATTGGGCTCTTTCCTCCTGTGCAACCATTGCCAAACCGAACGTTTTTAGACGCGGTGGCCCCCGTCGTTCGACTTCCGACCGTGAGGACCAGGGCGGCGAAGCGGGCGAGGGAGAAGAGGGCGCCGAGGGCGGTCAGCGTCGTCGTGGCGGTTACCGCGGACGCGGACGCTCTTTCCGTCGCGGTGGCTACCGTGGCGGACGTGGCGGACGCCGTAGCGAGAGCGAAGGCGGACCCCAGGGCGAGGTAAACAGTTTTTCTGTACACTTTTGAATTTTTGAATTGTTCTGTTAACTTGTTCAATCTTTTCTGAAAACCAATTGGTTCTTTCGCATGAGCGGCGGGAACCATTCCTTTTCGTGGGGTTTATTTCCACATCAAAGCGGCAAGATTATCTATACTTTTCGACCTAAAGTGATCAATTTTGTCGAAAAATTCGAATCCTTCAACTACTTTCTAAGTTTTTTTCATAGTCTGGCGCCAAGCTTCGCTAAAATTGACTAAATAGGGTTCTTGAAGACTTCCTATTTGATTGCGAGGCCTGCCCGGGCTTATCAAAAACAATCTGTTTCCCCGATTGCTCATTGCGGGTTTCCCCAAAAATTTTCCGAAAGAACGACAAATTTCCTTTTCAGCACGAGGGCGACAACAACGGCGGTGAAGGAGGCGAGGGCAGTCGCGGCCGTGGCGGACGTGGACGCGGTCGTGGAGGCCGTGGCGGACGCGGTGGTCGCGGACGTGGCGCCCCGGCCGGCGAGAGCACCGCCTAGATGAGCACCCTTCCAACAACAACAACCGCAACCTCACCTCTCTACTACACCAACCTCGTTTCCATCTGTCATAGAGATTCTCGCAGCGTGTTCCATCCCCCACCCACCCCGACCATCATCCCCCACTATCCTCTATCTCCATCTGGAGCCGTTTTGCAAAATTAAACCAACCACCACCACCACCATCATCATCTGAAATTCTGGGCGCAAGCTCTAGATCCACTCGTTCGGCGTACCCCCCTTTCGTCATAGCACCCAACTCGTGTCAACAGTACCCGCAAAAAATTACCGTACGATTCCGCAACAAAAGTCGAAGGGTGCCGTCGAGTCGCGCTGTACGCTCGCACCCCTCGCGTCTTGCGTGGGCGCTGTGCACCCCGTCGACTCGGCGCGCCTTTTGTTAACCACCTCATCCTCAACCAACATCTACTCCCCGACACCCCCCCAACATCTGCGTGTTGTTTTTGTAATAAAGGTATTTCTGATGACGTTTGCTGCGCGATGATGACACGACGATGACATGATGCAATGCGCAGCATTTCCAGCCAAAATGGCGACATGCAAAATACGGCCGTCTTTTGATTATTCCTAATTATGGCTGTCGTCATTTTGAATATTGTCATTTTGGCTGGAACTTTGCAGGAATTGTAGAGTTGCTTGGGGGGGGCGGGGGCGGAAAAAACTTTATTTTACTGGCTACGAGCCCCACTTTTCCGTGAACAGCACGGCGCGCAACATCATTCGCATCATATTCTCGACGACGTTACTTACCTAGAATTCGAGGGCATGATTTTTCGAAACAATTCAAACCTCGTCCGTCACCGAGTCAACGATGAAATTCGTAAACTCGGCAAAGATCATCTCGGTCCGTTTCCGCTTCTCGTTGTCGCCGATTGTCGGGCTCGCCTTTAGCGCTTGCAGATGGGCGATGACGTAGTGCGCCTGAAATTTTGCTATACATTGTTGTTGTTTTCCGGCAATTAGTATATAACAGCCGGTACAGCCGGTACAGCCGGTACAGCCGGTACAGCCGGTACAGCCGGTACAGCCGGTACAGCCGTTTCGCGGTATATGTAATTTACGTATTTATTGTTGTTATTTATTAAAATTAAAGTTATTTTTTTACTTTAATATGTCGTAATTGGTCAGCTAACGCGCCAGAGAGTACTTTATAGGTGAATTGAGCTATTCGGGGCCGTAATATCTGCATTATACACCGTTTTTAACATAGATTCTTTCCGTAAAAAATGCCATTAGACATTAGAGATTCTGATTTTTAGAGATTCTGAAATTTAGAGATTCTGAAATTTAGAGATTCTGAAATTTAGAGATTCTGAAAGTCCACCTAAAGGCTTATGTAACGTTCAGTGAAGTCAGTGAAATCGATTTTATGTATTAGCTAATTGTTTTAACATTTTTTACGGAAAGAATCTATGTTAAAAACGCTGTATAATGCAGATATTACGGCCCCGAATAGCTCAATTCACCTATAAAGTACTCTCTGGCGCGTTAGCTGACCAATTACGACATATTATAGTAAAAAACTAACTTTAATCCAATAAATAAATACAATAAATACGTAAATTACATATACCGCGAAACGGCTGTATCGTCTGTACCGGCTGTATCGGCTGTACCGGCTGTATCGGCTGTATCGGCTGTACCGGCTGTTATTTACAAATTGCCTTGTTTTCCTTGTCTGTGAAATTCATCCAAAGCTTCGCGCTTACCTTGGCTACAGCGACCGTATACCGCTCGTCTTGCAACAGTTTTAGCATCAGCGCCTCGGCCTTGTAGGTCTGGAAAAATTAGTTTCGGTTCCTAAACAGTCCAAAAGACGCTGTATCCTCACCTGAAAAGCCGCCTGAACTTCCGGCCGCAGCGTTCCGACAAGCACATCGAGCTCGATTGCCTAAAACCCGTTTATAGCGATTCCGCGCTAGAAGTTCTCCCACCTTTCGGTGTTGCGTGACGCCATCGGTGTGCGCGATGCCCATAAACTGGTCGACGGCCTAGAGGGGAGTATCATTTTTTTTCCGGTAAAAATGCGACTAGACGGCCGCAAGGATTTGACAGCTCGCTTCTGATAGTAAAACCTAAAAAAAGGCCGCCGCTTACCTCTGGTGTTGCGTTGATAAGGAATGTGGGTTTCAGGGCCGGGCCGAGGCTCTGGAAACAGAAAAAGTGATAAAAATATTTTTAGACTGTTGATTTTTGGGTCATTTTGACGAAAAAACTCAAAAATTTCTCGATGATTTTGGTGATTTTTTTATCGTTTTTATATCTAAAAAAATACGTAAAAGGCTATAAAAAAGGTTTAACTTAGAGACCACCGAACCGACTTAGACGAATTTGGTTCCCCCGCCAACAGTCCAGAACCGAAAGGTATCGAAATTTACGAGTGAGACCATCGAAATCTAGGAATTTTAATGGATCATAATTGTAAAGATTTTGCCTACAAGACAGGGCGACATCAAAAGGGAAGCAGCTTTCACCTGTGAGTCCACCGTTTCCAGGTTGAACGAGTCGATCTCGACGGAGGAGGAGCCGACGAGATTTAATAGGTATAAGAGGATCATCATAATGACGGTTTGTATATAAGAAGAAAGCAACGAAAAGCCCTGGTACGCCTCGGGGCTGATCAGTGGATCATTAGCAGGAAAGGAAGACGTGTGACCCCCGTGGGTCTACAAATAGTGCGATGACAGCCGCATCAGGCGGGCCACAGCGCAACGTCGGCGGGGTGTTCCAAGCGAATCCTTGATTTTTCAGTTAAAAGATTCCTAAAATCCGAATTTGACCAAAGCCAGGGGGCGAAGAAGTGATAGAGTTGTTGAGGAAACGCTTGACAGGACGCCAAGCCATTTCTGTAGGATTGGTTGTTGATGCTGAAGCTCTAATCGAAAACAGACAAAGCGCAAAACACTTCCGACTTTCGACGATGAAGCCTGAAGCCGCAGATCGCTATCTGAAATTCTAAAACGCAGGACTGGGAAAAAGTACCGTATGGAGCGAAGAGTCAGGCCGTATTCGAACGGAATTTTGCGCAAACTTTTTATTCTGAAAGACGACGAACGCGACGAATAAATTTAGAAAAAAAACTTTGTTTTGATCGTAACTTGGTTTGAATTAAATTTTATCTTTTGTTACCGACTTGCTCTGACTCCGAAGCGCGCATATTTGATCTGCTCGGATCGTTTTTCTTACTTCCTTGGCTTTAGCAACCGCTATCTTCTCCTCGTTAGATTATTTGGGCAAAACTATCTTTTTTTAAACTGACGAATAAGTTTCGAACCACATTAGGTTTAGCGTATTTTTGTTAAAGTTCGATTTTATCGTTTGGTACCGTCTTTTTTGGTTTCTCAACAAGCAATACACATATATTTGCTCCTTTTCCTCTTTACTTCTGCTTTCTCTCTACTACTCTCTTCTCGTTCCCTTTTGCTCTCCTCGACTCGTTTTCTCTTTTCCTTGGCTTTAACAACCACTATAATATTTCCTCTTCAGATGACGAAGGGTACGCAGGCGTTCGGAAAGAAGCATAACAAGACGCACACGCTGTGCCGACGCTGCGGGCGGTCTTCCTACCACATCCAGAAGCACACCTGCGCCTCATGCGGATTCCCGGCCGCCAGAAAGCGCACCTATCAATGGGGCATGAAGTCGATCCGTAGAAGAACCACCGGCACTGGCCGCATGCGCCACATGAAGATTGTCCACCAAAAGTTCAAGTAAGCTTCGTTCTTTTGATTTAATTCTTTTTCTAGGAACGGTTTCCGCGCCGGAGGAGTCGCCAAGCCGAAGACGGGAACCCAGAGTAATAACGCCGGAAATGCTTAATTCTGCTTTTTTTGTTGATTGTTGAGAATAAATCCGTTTAATTGCATCTTTGTATTCGTAGTAGTACGATTGAAAATCACATGATTACCGTTGTTCCTTGCTTTTCAGATTCATGCCGATTTTCAGGGCTATGTGGTGGAGCAGCCGGATATCTGCCCGCCAGGTTCTAGATTCATTTTGCGCGTGAACTTTTGTTTCAGCTAGCCTGGGCGGCTGGAATATCATTGGGATCGCTGCTGATGTACAGATATCTGCAACGTCGACGGCGTAATCAAGGAACAGCCGGTACTTGTTGCTATGGACTTGATCGATTTTCTTTAGGTCAAGCGCCTCCTCGCTACAAACGCGCATTTATCCGAATTGATCAGTCGCTGATTGGTCTGATTATTGGCAAGCGAGGCGCGCGGTTGGCATCGCTTGAAGAAGAATGCAAGGTAGTACTTGGGTGGCGTTAATGAATAGATTGTGTTTCAGTGTCTGCTCACAATTGTGAAACTGGAACCCGAAAAGGCTCGAAATATCAACGACGTCCTCTACCTTGGCGATCCCGGAAGGTATATCTTCGATTTTTATGTGTCTATCTGCAAACAGGGAGACTACTGCCCCGGTCGAAGAAGAAAATTGGGAAGACGAACAGGCGAAGTACGACGATCTCATCGAAGTCCCGTATATCGAAGTGATCTATCGCAGCGAGCATCAGGTATCGAGGTGCTGAGTGCTAAATATTTTTTATTACAGTTGGCGTATCTACAAAAGTTGTTGAAGAAAATAGTAGCCGAGGTGAAGAAGCCGCAGGTCGTGCAGAAGATCGGCATTCCAACCGAATCCATTGTCTATGTTCAAGGTATCATGGTCTATTGCGGGGTTAGTCGGCTTCCGTTCAGGTAGATACGGACGGAATCTCCGGAGGATTTACCAGGCTACCAAGGCTCAAGTTCGGATCCTGCTCCCGCCGGATCCAGAAATGGATTTCTTGAAGGTTGCGCTTTTCGGTAATTTTTAATGATCTGTTTAGGGTGGCTTCTGTAACATTACGGAATTCGAAGAGCCTATCCCTGATCTCGCTCCATATCTAACGACCGTGGTCATCAGAGGCCCTGCTGACAGTGTCGAGCTTGCACAGGTATTCTACTACGTTGATATTCTTGATTTTTTTATGTAGCTGATGATCCAAAAGTCCATCGAATCTTTCTATTTGAAGAAGGACGCCGTTGTGGCTCAAACAACACGACCGGAGGCCGAGACGACACTCGAGGAGGTATTGCATTTTTCTCTGCTTATCCTGTTTGTTAGGACCTTCTGACGATGGAACGCATGAAGAAAGCGTTGCTCGAATTGGAAGACTAGCAGAAACAAGGCCAGAAAGCGATATTTCTCCGAAATTTGCTCGATTGTTTGTGAAATATCTTTCGTTATTGTGCATTTAGGTGTTATTGCGATTAACAATAAAGCTTGTTCCGAGTTTCTGTAGTTCCGGTTTATGGAGCGTTAAGGCCGTGTATATTTCGACTATTCCAGAAGTATTTTTATGCTATCTTTGATATTCTGCGGGCCTTTTGGTAATCTTTATCCCCCGTCGGCCAATCCTTTGTCCACGCTTTCCGGGCCAGCCCGCTTGCCACGCCTGGTTTCCCTGGCCTAACCGATTCCTCGCCAACGCCGCCAGTTTTTTTATATTTATAGCTTCTCCCTAGGATTCTCATTACAATTCAAAAACTATACCTCGTTTAGCGTTCCCCGTGACCTCGAATTTGGATGGTTGCCGAAGAGGTGGCGGCCTACAAGCCCATCTCGTGGTGGCACGAGGAGAAGCCGTCATGGGCACGTCAACTGACGCTGAAGGTTAATAGTTTTTTTTATCATTTATGCTCTACGCAATCGACTTTTGCGTGTACAAAAATGTCTGGATTTTTGTAGCGCGCTAGCGAAAATTTTCGTGACGCAATTCGCTTTTTTCATTTCCAAATCGCTTTTTTAGTTTCTAAAGCTCAACGGGCCGATCCCCAACCACGTCGCGGTGATAATGGACGGCAATCGACGCTACGCACGTGGGCACCACATGGCCACCGTTGTCAAGGGGCACGAGCGTGGCTTTTTACAACTGCAAAAGGTGCGCTTTCTCAGGATCTCGAATGATTTTGTCTAGGTCCTGTGCTGGTGCAGGGATATGGGGATTCACGAAGTCACCGTGTACGCCTTTTCCATCGAGAACTTCAAACGCTCCCAAGAAGAAGTAGACGGACTGATGGACCTGGCCGAGGAGCAGTTCGCCAAGCTTTTACAAGAGAGGTACCGATTTACATGATCTGAATATTGCTTTTGTTCAGCGATGAGTTGGACGACAAGAAGGTATGCTTCCGTTTTTGGGGGCGACTCGAACTGCTGCGGCCAACGTTGCGGCGTCTTCTCGTGGAAGTGGAGAGAAGGACGGCCAACTACTCTAGGTACGACCTATTAAATTTTTAGTAGAACCGCGTTGCTTTAGGTCGATACTCAACATCTGCATAGCCTACACGGCCAAGGATGAAGCCCTACGTGCGGCCCAGTTGATAAAGACGGCTTCCGAAGCGGGGTTAATTGATGACCAACAAGGTGTATTTCAAAATCCGTTTTGAATCTAAATTTGTTTTCAGTGAACATGCCAGTGCTCCGAGAGTGCATGGATTCCCGACGATCCCTCGACCCGGATTTGATAATCCGAACCAGTGGTGAGCAGCGCTGGTCGGATTTCATGTTGATTCAGGTATGCAGCTTTTCTAGAATCTTACTAAGCTTTTTTTAGGGGTGCTTCACGCACGTCCACTTCTCCAACGTTCTTTGGCCCGAATTCGAGCACCGCCACCTATTCTGGGCCATCTACGACTACCAACGGCACTGCCGGGGGATACAGGTAAATTTGCCCCCTTTTTATCTCAAATTTTCTTTAGGCATTGCCCCATTGTGATGATCTGCCGAGTGACTGTGTGCCCGATGAGTTGCAAGATTTCATCGCTGCTCGTCACGAAAAACGCCTCCAAAGCCTACTCGATGACTAGTTTTTCTATCGTATCTTTCTCTTTCCCCCTCCACAATCCCATCCTGATTTTTCAAAAACCACTAGCTTTGTCAAATTTCCCATTTTTGCGTCTCCCAATCTCTTTGTTGAGCGCGCAGCGCGTCTCTTATTTCGGACTTTTTCGCAGGGCTCGTGACTTTTTCTGTGATATTATTCCTTTCATATGTTCAACTGATCATTCGATTTTGGAACATAAATAGGTTGTTTCTCTGTCATTTGAAGATTCACATTTCAGATTCAGATAGACCCGTAGCGTTCAAGCGGCTTCTGAATGATTCTTCTGATTCACGGCGCTGGCAAGCCAATTCCGACGTTCCCGTTGACGCCAACGAGGTCTTTGTGTGTATAGCGGGGTGGTGGCGAAGCACGACCCTCCTGAAAGCGAGTTTCCTTGCCGCTACGTTGTTTCTCACTTACGCTAACAGCCTCCCAGTAGCGTCGCCAACGATCCGGCACAATGTTGTCCTTATTGCCCGTGTAGTCGTCCATGGTCCATCGCTCACCCTGTAGCTTGTGAGTTGTAGGAATCAAACTTTCGATGCCACCTGACGAGGAAAGATATCATAACCGAGGGCATCCGGAAGGCCACCGGCCGGCCCGGAGCCGCCGAGCTGCACCCCCACCTGGAGTTTACAGCTTAATTTTCAGGCCGAATTTCTTACCGCGCTGCTGACGCTGGCGTACGGCCCGACACCGACCCCAAACCCGACGTTCACATCGCCCACGTCCTGAAATTAGGGAGATGAACTTCCTGATAGCTTATGTGCTTAGTTTCATTGTTTTCCAACCTTTAGAAGGCCGCGGCGGTTTGGATCTTGTTGCTCGGGTTGCGGGGTTGTTGCCTAAATGTCAAACATTTAAATTACGGTTCAAAATGGAGATTTAGAAGTTCAAACCACCTTACCCTGAGTTGCCCGGCCTGCTGAGAAGACAACTGACCGGCTCGGTAACGTTCTAGTAGGGTCTGCTCGTCCTAGAAAAGCTTTGTGTTTAAAAGGTCGTTTCGAATAGTTTCTATCACTTTGTTAATATATTGAGACCCTATATTGTTCTGACCTCGCTCAACTCGTCCGGATCGAAACCCCAGTGATTTCCGGCGTGCAGGTTGGAGTTTTGCCATAGATCTTCTTCTGGCTGATTTTTATTCTGAAAACGTTACGTCTCTCTCTGGCTCTCTCTCTCTCTCTCTCTCTCTCGCTCTATCTATACCTTTCCGGAGCCTTGTTCAGCTTCTACTGCCTTTTCCACGCGTTTCGGCGAGCTAAACTTTTAACGTTAAGAAATTATAACGGTACCTTTCTTCCGGGATAAAGCCAAATCGTTGTTTTGAAGCATCAATGCATACTGTAATAGATCCCGTTTTTATCATTTGAAAAGTGCAAAAATTTAAGCTTTAGGCCTTTGAAGGGTATACCAACCGATCAGAAGCATGGCTAGTGCTGCTAATTTTAATAATATAGTTTTTGTGGAAATAAGCATGGAAATATAGCAGGGGAAAAATAGCTAGAAAGCTATAGATAAACAAAGGGTAGAAATTATTTGGCTTCTCGGCGTGCTGCCCGTTTTTGGAGGCAATGGCACTCACATGTGGGGGAACAAGTTTTCGTGGGGGTTGAAGGTCGAGACTGTCATGAGCAAACGGCATACCAAAAGCACAGTCAGGTACTATCGGCCGCGGCGTAATTTATTAAGAAACACTACTTAATAAACGTCTTATAATATTATTTAAGCGTTTTAATATACTATAATATCTTCTACATATTTATAGGACTTAGTTATATAGTTTTTATATAAATTATTTGCAATCTATACAAAAAAGAGTGCTTATGAGCACCCGCGGCCGATAGTACCTGCCTGTGCTTTTGGTATGCAGTCATGAGCAAGGGGCAATTCTCGCTATTTATGTATCATATTTTAGACCTAACTCGAAAACTACTTCGAAAGAGGGTACAACTAATTAAATTTGAATTTATGATCCAAAAATCTCGTTTTCTTCAAGAAATCTATCTTTTTCGTTAATTTTTGAAGTGTTTTTCTAATGATTTTTGCATTATTCTACCGGCTTAGATGTCTTAATCCTCTTTTTCAAACCCGGAGCGGCTTAAAAATGAGGAAATGCCAAATTAGATTTATTACTAATATTAATTAATAATTAATTCTAATTTTTAACTCAAACGGCGCTTACAGGATGTCCCAATAAAAAACACCCCCCTCCAACTCGACGCAGGAGCATCGGATCGAAATGATAGTTACACCATTCGAAAGCCCTTGAAACGGCCAGTTTGCAACAACTTTCAAAGCCATGTTTTTGTTTAAACCTGCCATTTTACAAGTCATTTTGTAAAAATATTACCGCTTTTTGGGGTTGCATACGAGCCAATCTCCCTAAACTTCTCCATAAAAATGACCAGACGTAGACGTCCATTAGACGCAGCGGCCGTTGCTTGATGGTTTTGAATGCGTTGTAAAACGCGTGCTCGTATTAAAAACATAGTTTTGAAGATTGTTGCAACCTCGCCGTTTCAAGGGCTTTCGAATGGTGTAACTAACATTCCGATGCGATACTTCTAGGTCGGGCTATAGGGGGGTGTTTTTTTATTGGGACACCCTGTACTCCCTCACTTCCCTTTCGAAATTTTGTCGATATTTCGTGATTTTTTGGAATTTTCCAGTCTTACAATGGAGCCATAGAAATTTACTTTAAAGTCCAATTAAAGCACAAAACGGATTTTCATGATAATGTCGAAAATCATAATTTCGAAATTATTCGAAATGTAGACTTTCTTGCGTATGATAAAGTGGGTTTTTCCGCGAAATTCGCCTATGATTAAAAATTCTGTAAAAATTTTATATAAATAAAGGATTAAAAATTGAAAGTCGGCAAAGCGAAATTTCGAGAATGCAAAATTTCAACAGTGATTTTCGACAAAACGAATTTTTCGATTTCAGATCTCAAAAAAGTCAGAATTTCGATTGGTACCTTGAAGGTTTTAGTTTGTACAGGGTGTCCCAAAAAAAATCGACCCCCCTCTAGCGGGCCGCAGTCATGTCCGATTTTGACGATTTAGATATCTATCGAAAGCACTCGAAAAGGCGAGAAAACAAGCACTTTTCGTTTTACAATATGGGAATTTTAATTCATTAAATTTAGGGCCAAAATCGATGAAAACTGCAGATTTTATGCAAAATCGGCATGTTAATTGCTTGCTAAAGCAAACAGGACGATGCTGGTTTTACGCTTTTTACAGAAATCATTGAATATCGAGCGAAGGCTAAAATTTTTTGGAAAACCAAAGGCGCTTGTTTTCTCACCGTTTGAAGGGCTTTCGAATGATGTGAAAATCATTCCGATCCGAGCTTTCTGCGGTCCGCTAGAGGGGGGTCGATTTTTTTTGGGACACCCTGTATAAAATTTTTATGCCGTTTTAGTTTTTAGTTTAGTTTGTCATAAAGGTGGATTTGACTTGATAGGTCCTTCAGTGAAACGTTTAAAACGATAGAAAAGTGCTATTTTAACGTGATAAGCCCTTTGTGATGCAATTTATTCACACAATTCGCTGCTAGTCTAGGCGTTTTGATTAGTCTTCGAGGCCCTCGGATTGGCGCAACAGTTTCATGAAGGCGAACGGCTCGAACTGGATGCCGGTACCGCCGTAGAATTTCGATTGGAATTCGACCCTGAAATTTTTGAAAATAATGATAGCATTTGGCGGTTTTCACGCACCAATGAAGACGTAGGGCGTGGAGGAAAGCGGAAAGCCCTTCCATAAGAATCAGAATTCCGACGGAGAGCATGGCGAAGATGCTGAAGAAGACGAACATCAGCGCCGCGCCGCCGTAACTAAAGGTTTTGGTCGTTTTCTTGAAGTTTTTCTTCCTTAAGCCTAGGCAGCAGCCTGAGCGTAAGCATACGCCTAAGTCTAAACGTAAGCCTGCCTAGCCTAAGCCTAAGCCTAAGCCTAAGCCTAAGCTAGGCCTAAGCCTAAGCCTAAGCCTAAGCCTAAGCCTAAGCCTAAGCCTAAGCCTAAGCCTAAGCCTAAGCCTAAGCCTAAGCCTAAGCCTAAGCCTAAGCCTAAGCCTAAGCCTAAGCCTAAGCCTAAGCCTAAGCCTAAGCCTAAGCCTAAGCCTAAGCCTAAGCCCAAGCCTAAGCCTAAGCCTAAGCCTAAGCCTGAAGCCTAAGCCTAAGCCTAAGCCCAAGCCTAAGCCTAGCCTAAGCCTAAGCCTAAGCCTAAGCCTAAGCCTAAGCCTAAGCCTAAGCCTAAGCCTAAGCTAAGCCTAAGCCTAAGCCTAAGCCTAAGCCTAAGCCTAAGCCTAAGCCTAAGCCTAAGCCTAAGCCTAAGCCTAAGCCTAAGCCTAAGCCTAAGCCTAAGCCTAAGCCTAGCGTAAGCGAAGCCTAACCCAAAGCGTTATTAATTTCTAGAACTTACCCGGTCATCATCGTCAGCCCCATGTGCAACAACATGTCCCAGAGTACTTCAGAAAGCTCTAAAAAACATTTTAGAGAGTTTTTCGATTAGGGCCCGGCCGCATTCTATTACAGCCAGACGGCCCGGCTGATTGCCATGTCTGGTTTAACTGTAAAATATAATATACTCGAAGTATGGATGCTAAACTACAAAATAAAACAACAGAAGGCTGCAAACTCACGCGCATGGGCGAGGGACAGGGCCCAAAGTCGGAGGTACGAGGCGGTGTGAGAGATGCAGCCAAGGGCGAACTCGATGGTGTGGATGGCTTGGTAGACCATCACGTCGCCAAAATTGAACTGAAACGACCTCTCTCTCCCCGCTTTCACGCGCGCTCTCTCTCTTTCTCTCGCTGTCTATCTCTCTTTCCCTCTCTCTTCGCCAAAAGAATCGACCCTTCCCCCGACTAGGTCTCGACAGCTACAAGATAGTGATTATTGCCCTTTCTAGTCCTTCAAAGGGGCCGCGAACGGCTTGAAAAGGACGTACTTCTCCATCGCCTTCGCCACCATGTCCATGGCCTCCAGAGATAGGCTTGCCCGCCTTGTGCTGGGCCCTAGAAAAAGCGTATATACGATGCTTAGCAATTTCTCTCTCTCTCTCTCTCTCTCTCTCTCTCTCTCTCTTTCACCCTCTCTCTCTCTCCCTCGCTCTCTCGCCCTCTAAACTTACAGCTGAACGAGGGGCTTCACGAGCAGCATGACTGGGATGGAGATGACGGCGATGGCGAGCAGGATCATTTCGGCGGTTCCCTGAAAAGGTGAGAAATCGACAGGGTGGGAGAAAGAGATAGAGGGAGCGAGAGAGAGAGAGCGAGCATGAGAAAAGCACAAAACCGACCTGTCCAGGGTACCATAGCTGCAAGTAGCACTGGTCGAGCTGGTCCTCAACCTTCGGGATACCGTCGGCCGGTGCGTGGTTGCCCTTGACGAAGCCGACCTCGCGGGACTTCATCATGAACATGTTGATCAGGCCTGAATTAATGAGGTTGTACTCTCTTTCTCGCGCTCCCTCTCTGTATCTATCTCACTCTCTCTCTTTCTCTCACCCTCGCCCTCTCTCTCTCTCAAGACTCACCAATAAGAAGCGATGGAGCGCAGTTACTGCCTGGGTAATATTGGCCAAAGATCATCTTCGGCTCGGCCCAGAAGAAGATCCACTTGATGATAACCTAAAAAGAGAGAAAATAGAGAGAGTCAGAGAGAGAGCCAGTGAGAAAGAGAGAAAGAGAGCGAAAGGGAGAGAGATAAAGAGAGAGAGAGAGATAGAGAGAGAGTGAGAGAGAGCTGACCTGTATGCATAGATACACAAAGATACAGCAGAGGAACAGCATTTGGGGGATGAACACGAAGAAGATGTCGATGGCTGATCGGTTGTAGCTAAAAATAGTGACGATATCAGCCCTCTAAAGGGCCCGGCAAGCGGGAGAATCGACTCCTTGCATTAACTAGGTCTAGACAGCTGAGCAATGTGCCAAAATATTTGATTAGCGCAAAAAGATTAGAGCAAAAGTTTGGCAAATTTTGGTGTTTTTCGTAGTTGTCGAGACCTAGTGGAAGGACGACGTCGATTTTCTCACTTTTCCGCAGCTATACCAGAGTTTTAAAGATCGCTTACGTATGGTTAAGCAGCGACAACACAACACCGAAAAACATCTGACTAATTCCGATGCAAATCGACATCTTCATTTTCATTGGATTGAGGAAGTTCAAGCGATTCTTGGCAAGGTTCCAAACTGGGTCGAGGCCGAAGGGATATGGGCCCTAAAGGGACCTTGAAGGCTGGAAAAATTGCACGAACTTCAGAGTGCTTGAAGGCCTCGTTGGGGCTGAAGGTGAAGTCAAGGTCCTGGTCCGAGTTGGCGCCCAGCACCTCGGTGCCGTTCAGCTCCGCCATACTATAAACGCAGAAATTTCTGTATAGCTCTCTCTCTCTCTCTCTCTCTCTCTCTCTCTCTCTCTCTCTCTCTCTCTCCTTCGCTATCTCTCAACTTACGTATATGGGTTCAACCACTGACTGCCGAAAATATTGATCGATTTTGAGTAGAAATCGTTGTAGAGCACGCCTAAACTTTCGTAATTTTCCGTTTTTTTTTGGATTACGGTATTTTTTGCGTGATATAGAATTCCAACCTGTATATATCGAAAATAGGCCCATCAAGAAGATGACGTAGCGACCGCCGAAGAACGTGTTGAAGATCTAGAACAAAAGCTGTAGATGACGTCCGTTTCATTCCCCTCCCGCTCTCTCGCTCTCTCTCGCTCTCTCTCTCTCGCTCTCTCTCTCTCTCTCGCCTACCTCATCCTTAACCTTCGCCTCGATGATCCGTTTCTCAAAGACCAAGAACAATCCGGCGGCAATGAGCATCACAATTCCGTGTCCAGCGTCTCCGAACATGCAGGCGAAAATGAAGGGGAAGGTGATGATCGTCCAAGGGGCTAAAAGGTGACTCAATTACCGTAATCTCACGACAAGACAGGGACAAGAAAACCAGAGAGAAAAGTGGCAAAAGTCTTACCTGGGTTGACCTCGCGATAGTTGGCAATACCGTAGGCGTCGACGATGTTCTGGAATTTACCGTTGTTTCCCTGTCTCTGTCTCTTTCTTGCTATCTCTTTTTCCCTCTCTCACCCTCTCACTCACTCTCACTCACCCTTCACTTTCTCCCGTTCTCTCTCTCTCCCACCTGGAATCCAATGGTGAACTTGTTCAGCTTGAAGTAGGTGGGCGGGGTCTCGTGCGTCTCCATCTCGTTGAGCACCGGCATCACGGTCGCTCCGGACATGGCCTGAACTCCTTGATGTCGAGGTCCTAAAAACCTACAGTTCCGGCACGAAGAGCATCATTGATTTGGGGGAGGTCGACCGTCGGCACCCAGCACTCGGCGATCAGGCACTTCTGGGTGACGTCGATGGAGAACATGTTGAGGGTGTGGAAGATGGACTTGATCTTCAGGACCTGAAAGGAGAGAGTGACAGTGAGAGAGAGAGAGATAGAGAGAGAGAGAGAGAGAGATAGAGAGAGAGAGAGAGAGAGAGAAAGAGATACCGCACCTTGTAGCTCCACAACTTCACATTCTTCCCAGCCGCATGAAGCACTCGCTGGCGATGATCAATTGTCTTGCCGAGCACCGACTTCATGTCCTCCACCTGCATCTGCACTTTCGTGCCCAGCTGGGCCCGCTCGACGACGTTGTCCGGGCAGTTGTAGATTTCGGCGTGGAAGCTGCAAAGCATCTATCACTTTGTCTCTCTCTCTCTCTCTCTCTTTCTCTCTCGCTTTCTTACCCTGCACAAATCTTCTTGACCTTGCCCGACAAAGCCTCTCCCGAGAAGAAGAGGATGAACACCGACTTGAACGTAGCCGGGTCGAGGCTGCCGAGCGGCTGAAAAGCGTGCCACGCTTCCTTCAAAAGCATACCGGTGGGATCTCGACGTTCATCGTGCGGACGTAGACCTTTCCGCGGCACATGCGCCACATGAAACGCTCGAAGGCAGATGTCTTGGCCAGGTCGATGACACCGGTGATGAACCTGGAATGGATTACATTTCTCTGGCTGTAGTTCGCTCTCGCTGTATCGCTCTCTCTATCTCGCACTCTCTCTTTCTCTCACTTACTTAAGTTCGGTATCTCCGCGGTTCTCCTTCTCGAAATCGACAAACTTTGGGGCGACACCGACTTGGATAGGGCCAGCTTCCCCTCGAGAGGCTTCGGAAATCGACATGGCAGCTTGAGCACGAGCATCCTAGAAATGAAGATGAACGTGTAGAAGCTGTCACCCTCTCGTTCTCCATTTCTCCAGATCTCTCTTCCTCGCTCTCTCTATCTCTAGCTTTCTAGCACTCTCTCCCATTCTGTATCTCTCTCACCCTCTACCTCGCTCTTTTTATAATTTAATTTTAACAAAGCTGGCTTCAGCCCTTGAAAAACTAAAAAGGTCCATACCAGATCTCTGAGGTTTTAAAAAAGCATAAAAAACCTTGGCAGACCACCTGCTGACTCCTTGGTCCCGAAACGCGCACCACCTGGCCCACCCCCGGAGGGTACCCTATATAAACCCCTCCCCTCCACCTCCCACCATTCATTCCTATGAACATATCCTAAAATTGGAACAATACAGAGAAGATTAGCATGGCCCCTGCGCAAGGATGACACGCAAATTCGTGAAGCGTTCCAAATTTTTTGACTTTTTTGGAAGTTTGTCTTTCTCCGTGCCTCTCCCTCTCACTCCTTGGCCATAATACACTTGCAAGGTCCTGAAAAATTTCTGCTAGTGGTCGTTGCTCAATATTCAGGGCGCAGAGATTTTCGAGGATGGGCGCTGGTGTTTTTAAACTGTGCATATCTCTCTCTCACTCTCTCTCTCTCTATCTCTCTCTCTCTCTCTCTCTCCCTCTCGCTCCCTCTCCATGACGCGGAAACCAAAAGCCAATGTCTGGCCTTTCAGCCTGTATGAGGTGATGGAATGCGCTGATAAGGCTCCTGTCCGGTAGCAAGCGAGCAAGAAATAGAATTTCAGGGACCGGAAAATTAAAGGAAACACAGTTCCTGAATTTTGAGGTGAAAAAGGAAATAGAAATTTTGGTCAAATCGCTCTCTCTCTCTCTCTCTCTCTCTCTCTCTCTCTCTCTCGCTCTCTCTCCCTCCCTCTCGGGCTCTACAAAAGACGCTCCAATTTCCACCCACCGAGTCGAGCAGCAGCTTGACCTTGTCGAGCACGGCCTTCATCTCCATCAGCTGGGTGTAGTTGCGCTGCAGCGTCTTTGTGTTGGAGTTGATCTGGAGGAGCTCGTCCTCGATCTTCTCGAGGTTGGCCTCGAGCTCTCCCATCTCCTTCGGCTGCGGGGCCTTGATGTGGAAGCTGGCATCATCGACCTGGATCTCGTTTTTCGTGACCTCTTCCTCGATGTAGCCTGAAAAATTTAACTCCTTGAAGTCGTCGAATATTACAGCGAGGGTGTCGTCTATGAGAATTGTAAAATAAACGAAAATTGAAGGTTAAAAGGAGCCTATGAACGTCTTTTTCCAATATCTTGATCTCTCACTCTCTCACCCTCTTTCTCTCTCGCTCTCGCTCTCTCGCTCTCTCCCTTTCTCTGAGAAACTCACGCAGCTTCCGCTCCATTTCATCACATCGTCGGACCTCATTGACGAACTTCCGCTGGTAGGTGCTCGCCTCCGCATTTAGCTGCAAAATTTTTTGATTGAATTTTGTCACCGAGCTACAGCAGATTGTCAAGCCGGCAGAGATTTTTTGAGGAATCTAAGGCAGGCCAGCAAAAATCCTTGAGGAATTCTACCTGCCCGCGGAGAGCATCAAAAATTAGGGGACAGGTTAGCAGAGATCCTCTGAGGAATTGAAGTAGACTAGCAGCGATTCTTTGAGGAATTCAACACGTAGGCGAGCAGACTTTCTTGAGGAATCTGGCAGGGAGGCGAGCAGAGATCATTTGGGAATGGAAGGGGCAGGCTAGCAGAGATAATTTGGGAATGAAAGGGGCAGACTAGCAGAGGTTCTTTGGGAATTCCACTCACATCCCGGAACTGCGCCAATCCAAGCTCTCCCAGCTCGGCCACACAAGCGTAGGCCGAGTCGGTCTGCAGGAACACCTGGCAGAGGCTCATGTACTCCGACCGGAAGATGGACCCCATTTTCGGCGTTCGAGGGCGGCTTCGTTCCGGTAGCCCTGAAAAAAAAGTTTTGCAACCTGAGAGCGAGAGAGCGAGTGAGAGAGAGAGAGGAGAAGAGGAGAAAGACAAACGGAGAAAGAAAAATTCCAAAAAACGCAAAAAATTTGGAACGCTTCACGAATTTGCGTGTCATCCTTGCGCAGGGGCCATGCTAATCTTCTCTGTATTGTTCCAATTTTAGTATATGTTCATAGGAATGAACGGTGGGAAGTGGAGGGGAGGGGTTTATATAGGGTACCCTCCGGGGGGTGGGCCAGGTGGTGCGCGTTTCGCGGTGGCCAGGGAGCGAACAGGTAGCCCAGATTTTTGTGCTTTCTAAATTTCAATGGCGTTTTCAAATTTTTTTCCGAATCTAGTTCGGTGCGTTTTTTACCTGCTAATATCTTACAGTACCTGATTCTGTCTAGAAAATTTGCTAAACTTGAATACCGTCCGAAATCGATTCGAGTGAATTTAATGCTCGGTTTTCGCAGGCCTTCGAGCTATTTTCTGGTATAAAATTGTCCCGTATCTAATTCTGGGTATATCGTACATTTTGAAATGCCTATATGATTCCCAAAATATCTAGGAATTCACTTAACCCTTATGACAGCGTTAACAAAACGAGGGAAATAATATAATGTAACGGCTGAAAAATTGTGATTTTAAGAGTAATATGTTTTTAGAAGGTAACTTAACGGTATATAACTGCAAAAGACCATTGAACGGCCCTAAGTGCCAATTATTGATGAGGCAAAAGAGTAATTTTCGGCCGTGTTATCAGCTTTCCCCCTCCCTAGCCACTCCACCCGGAATGTGTCCCATGAAATGGCTGTGCCGTAACGTTGCGGACTGGCTGAGACACATAACGGCTGATAACTGTAGAAAACGACGGGGTAGCTAGCAGAGGTTTTTGACGATTTTCGAAGAATGACGAGCTTGTTTTCGTTATCGAAAAAGGAGACGGAGCCGAAGGATCATTTGGGAATGGATGGGGCAGGCTAGCAGAGATCATTTGGGAATGGAAGGGGCAGGCTAGCAGAGATCATTTGGGGATGGAAGGGGCAGGCTAGCAGAGATCATTTGGGAATGGAAGGGGCAGGCTAGCAGAGATCATTTGGGAATGGAAGGGGCAGGCTAGCAGAGATCATTTGGGAATGGAAGGGGCAGGCTAGCAGAGATCATTTGGGAATGGAAGGGGCAGGCTAGCAGAGATCATTTGGGAATGGAAGGGGCAGGCTAGCAGAGATCATTTGGGAATGCAGGGGCAGGCTAGCAGAGATCATTTGGGAATGGAAGGGGCAGGCTAGCAGAGATCATTTGGGAATGGAAGGGGCAGGCTAGCAGAGATCATTTGGGAATGGAAGGGGCAGGCTAGCAGAAATCATTTGGGAATGGAAGGGGCAGGCTAGCAGAGATCATTTGGGAATGGATGGGGCAGGCTAGCAGAGATCATTTGGGAATGGAAGGGGCAGGCTAGCAGAGATCATTTGGGAATGGAAGGGGCAGGCTAGCAGAGATCATTTGGGAATGGAAGGGGCAGGCTAGCAGAGATCATTTGGGAATGGAAGGGGCAGGCTAGCAGAGATCATTTGGGAATGGAAGGGGCAGGCTAGCAGAGATCATTTGGGAATGCAGGGGCAGGCTAGCAGAGATCATTTGGGAATGGAAGGGGCAGGCTAGCAGAGATCATTTGGGAATGGAAGGGGCAGGCTAGAAGATATTCTTTGCTGATCCTGTGTTGATTGTCGCGTCTCTTTCTTGTAGCTTGTACTTTTATCCAGTCAACGAAATAATAAAGCTTTATCTTATTAGAGCCACGATGAGGCAGCAAAGAGGGGGCAAAAGAGGAGGAAAAGAGCAACCAAACAAAGCATAAAAACACGAAATCGAGTCCAAAAATTGCGATTTGCATGCAAAAAGAGGGCGCATACATACACGAATCTGGTGCGCGTGTAGATACAGCCTACCCGATCAGGGGGTCGAAAATAATACAAGAAATGTTGCGGAATAGCGAGTAAAACTGAAAAGGCGGGATGTCAGGGACCAGGAAGCGGGAGAATCAACCCATCGATCGACTAGGTCTTGACAGTTACGCAAGGTTGATACGGTGATATGACGTTATGGGCGCTATAGAGAGCTGGTCGATCAAGGTGTCGATTTTCACATTTTCTGGGTTCTTTAAAAACGAAGGGCCAGTCGTGACTAAAGATTTTGGAGTGTCTAAGATTAAACCCAAGCTCAAGCCTAAGCCAAGCCTAAAGCAAGTCTGAGCCGAGCTTGGCATGGCCTAAGCCAAGCCTAACAAGGGAAGGGCAAGTACACGAACTGGAAATTCGAAAAACGCTCGCGGCTACCCCCAGGTTATCGACTACGGCGAACATGATGGTGTTGTCAGAATTTTCCACCGAGCCCTGTAGAGCGAGATACGGTACTTCCGGAAAAAGGGTCATTTGCATACGCGAAATTAACATGTTACTTGCGGTTTATTAGAGGCTTCTACGTCCCTACCATCAGCTGCGCGTTTTTCGAATTTCCAGTTCGTGTACTTGCCCTTCCCTTGTAAGCCAAGTCTAAGCCAAGCCTGAGCCTAAGCCTAAGCCTAAGCCTAAGCCTAAGCCTAAGCCTAAGCCAAGCCTAAGCCTAAGCCTAAGCCTAAGCCAAGCCTAAGCCTAAGCCAAGCCTAAGCCAAGCCTAAGACAAGCCTCAGCCTAACAAGGGAAGGGCAAGTGCACGAAGTGGAAATTCGAAAAACGCGCGCGGCTTCGGATCCGCCCTGATTTTTTTGTTTTGCTGTGAGGAGCCTAGTATTGCAGGTTATCGCCCCGTTTTCCTCATGGTTGAAAGAAAATTCTATTCAAGATCCGAGGTCCAACCCAAAATCACAAACTTCCAAAAAAGAAAAACAAAAATGAGAGTGGATCCGAACCCCCGTTGGTATTTCAAAAAGCGAGTGGCTTGGCACTCGACCAATTCACAGCTGATGGTAGATACGTGGAAGATCCTAATAAACCCTTAGTAGCTTTCTAATTACGCTCATGCAAATTATGCTTTTTCCGGAAGTGCGGTATCTCGCTTTACAGACCTCGGTGGCTAATTCTGAATAGCGCATCGGAATCGCCGTAGTCGAAAACCTAGGGGTAGCCGCGCGCGTTTTTCGAATTTCCACTTCGTGCACTTGCCCTTCCCTTGTAAGCCTAAGCCTAAGCCTACGTCTAAGCCTAGTCATGACCTAAGCCTAAGCCTATGCCTATGCCTCAGTCTAAGCCAAGCCGAAGCCTAAGCCTAACCAAGGCCTCCGCTTAAGCCTAAGCCTGGCGACAAGTCACAACGAATATCTCAACAACAAAATCCATAGTCAAGCCTTGCCAGTCCCTTTAAACTCTTTGCGAGTACAAGCTTTCGATGGCACGGCCATTCAGAAAAATCCTTGGAACGTGTGGATATGGCGGACGGGAAGGAGGACAAAACGGAAAAGCAAATATAAGCACAAAAGAAATCAATAAAAACGGCAATTCGAGCGATATTGTAACTCTTCCAAGTCGCAAAAAAATCTGCCGGCATACAGATATCACAAAGCATAGATTGACAGGTTTTTTGGAGGGGATTTTGCACTCATTGTACTCCAGTTTTTGACTAGTTTGAACTTGTAATTCGATGGCAATTTGATCTTAGTTTTTTGTTTGAAATTCATTGGTTTTCCACGATGGTGGCCATCGAGGAAATTTCATACGACTCTGGCGGGGCGGCGGTGGATTTTGGGGCGCTGGCGCCGCGATGGGGCGTCAGAATTCGACGTCGACTCGCTGCAACAAAATTCGTTGCATGCGAGGGAGAAAGCCAGAGATAGAGAGCGAGAGAGAGGGAGTGACGCTGTCAGCTTAAAGGACTAGAATGTGCCAAATTCGACCCTTCCCTCGAATAGGTCTCGACGGCTATGCCGCTTAACTTATTTAACAGGTTGATCGAACCTTAACGTTGAGCGCCAACCTAAGCCTAAACCGAAGCCTAAGCCGAAGCCTAAGCCTAAGCCGAAGCCTAAGCCTAAACCTAAGTAAAGTGGTCGGGGACCACTCCTAAGCTAAGCCTAAGCCTAAGCCTCAGCCTAAGCCTAAGCCTAAGCCTAAGCCTAAGCCTAAGCCTAAGCCTACGCCTAAGCCTAAGCCTAAGCCTAAGCCTAAGCTTAAGCCTAAGGCCAAGACCAAGCCTCGCCTAAGCTTAACCACGTCTGACTACGCTAAAGATTTCCAAACGATATTGGCGCGTATTATGGCGTCTGGCCTAGCTGTCGAGACCTAGTCGAGGGAAACGGTCGATTTTAGCCCATTAATGAGGTGATATCGGGAAACCGTTATCGCAAATATACCTTGACTCAACGCCCGCTCGGTCGCCTGAGCTGCCGCAGAAATGGACGATGCAAATGAACCGTTGTTCGACGCGCCCATACCCGTCATCGTCTCGCTGTGCTAAAAGATGGTCGGATTAACGGTTTTTCAAGCTATTAGCGCTGTCTACCCGTTTTTACTGTATGCCTCTGTTTCGCTCTGATACCCGAAATCTCGTACCTCTCTTTGGTTTCCGCTGCTCGGCTCGTTCTCAACCGGCTCGTCGAGCAACGACACGCTCTTGTCGTTGCCCATAAACCCGTAACAAGCGCGGTTGCGGTCGCTCGACTTCAGCAGGGTCACCGCGTCCTAGAAATTGATTTGTTATTGTTTGTTCGCATTTCTCTCTCACTCTCTCTCACTCTCTCTCTCTCTCTCTCACTCTCTTACCTCAATAGTTTCCGGAAGTGGAAGCCCGTTTGTCTCCGGAAGTAACATCACCAGCATTCCGGCCACAAGGGAGAACACCGCAAAAATCATCATGGGCACAATCGGAAGCGTGACGTCGGAGAGCATAGCGATGTACGACGAGACTCCAGCTCCAAATCGGGCGATCTAAAATGTAATTTGTTAGTTTTCACTCCTTTTCTCTCTCTCTCTCTCGCTTTATCTCTCTCTTTCTCTCTCTCTCTTTCTCTCTCTCGCTTTATCTCTCTTGTTACCATGGAGCTGAAGCCGACCGCCGAATTCCGAACCACAGTTGGGTAGAGTTCAGAAGTGAAGATGTAAAGGATGTTGAAGGCTCCCTAAAATTGTTTCATTATCTCTCTCTCTCTCTCTCTCTCTCTCTCTCTCTCTCTCTCTGTCTCTGTCCACGCACCTGTACACAAATCTTGCCCATCATCATGAACAGCAACGCCACCATGTACACCTTGCCCTGGACGGCGAGGAGTGCTATGATCAGGCACAGCCCAGCACAGACGAGGGTTATCATCTGGGCCCTGGAAGATTTTAGGTAAGAGTTAGGAATATCGTAAGCTACCTTTTTCTTCCAAACTTCATCAAGTAGACGCAGCTGATCAGCGTCGGCAGCTCGACAGCACCGGCGATGGCGTTGTTCAGGAAGAAGTTGCCGGAGAACAGGACTCTTCCAGGCGCTGACTGGTCGGAGAGGGCTGAAAAAAGGAATTCATTCTTTGCCTGTCTATCTCTCTCATTTGCGCTCGCTCACGCTCTCTCTTTCTCGTCCTCCCTCTCTCCCACTCTCTCCCTCACTCTCTCTCACTCGCTCTCTCTCCTCTCTCTATCTCTCCCTCGCTCTCTCAAAAACCTACCAATGACAAGTCCATAGTAGACGAGTGCTGTTGCCATGAACACGATGCAAACGATGATGCTCCGGAAGCGCAGTTCTCGGATCTGAATCAGGAAGTTTTTAGTCTCCTGAATTTCCAATACCTTGAAAAGATGCCACAGGTTGACTTTCCCGTTCTGCGCCCTAACCCATTTGCTCGTCTCCCGATGCCGAACCAGCTCGAGGTCGGAGGGCAGGCTGCCTTGGTTGGCGCGACACAGGTTGAAGGGGAACGGAGGGTTCCTGAACATTGGGAAATTGGTATGTAGCGCTGTGTAATTGTCAAGACCTAGTTTACGGAAGGAGTCGAATTTTCGCTTCCGCGACCCTTTAAATTTGACGCTGCGATTAACCCCCACCTGCACGCCTTCCGGATCACTTCCTCCGCCTCGGCTACCCGATTCGAGACGATCAACCATCGTGGACTCTCCGGAATCGTGCAGATCAACAGGACCGCCACGAAGTGGAGCGCTGCCGCGATTGCCTAAAGAGGATGGAACTCTAAATTCGACTATGCCCATGCCTAATTTTGAGCCTGAGCCTGATCATGAGTCTCAGTCTACGCGAAAGTATCGAAAAATTCTTACTAACCTGTATCGTCTTCCAGCTCTTGCAAAAATACGCGAGAAGCGCCAGCAAGGCGTACCCGACGGCCCAAGGCGCTTGGAGCAACGACCCAATCATCGATCGATATTTTACACCTAGAAGGGCCACAATTTTCAGTTTTGATCATCAAGTCCAACCGGTAATCTCCATACACAAGATGTAGGCAGCCAGGTCGGCCGCTTCGTTGCAGACGGCGCTGAGGAACCTGAAGACGGGGATCAAGTTCCGGAACGGGAGGCCGACTTACCGTATAAAAAGAAACATTGGAAAGTAGGTGGTGAAGGGGAGGAAGACGCCGAACATTGACGACAACACGCCGAACCCGATGACGGTGGGCTTTCGGCCGAAGCTGAAAGGGATCAAGATGTTGAAACGTCGTCCAGAAGTCTACGCTTATAACCAGGGTCAAGAAGCCAAATCGAGGCATAATCATGCTTACCTGTCACTAGCGAAACCTCCTAGCAGACATCCGACCAAGTAGCCGAACGAATAGAAGAGATGGGCATGGCCACGCTTCATATTGTCATCACAGACGAGGTTCCAGTCGGTTACGATTGTTTCCTCCATCACCTAAAAAATTCCATGTTTTCTCTCTCACTCCTTCCCTCTCTCTCTCTCTCTCTCTCTCTCTCTCTCTCTCTCTCTCTCTCTTTCTCTCTCCCTCTCCCTCTCTCTCGCTCTCTCTACTTCTCCGTCTCTACCTGCATTTGAATCAGAAACAATACCCACGTCTTTCTTGTACTCCCACCCGGTACATTTGGTCATCACCGCCGGCTCGCCGTCGACCGCTTTTATGGCTTCCTCAAGAGGGCTATATTAATTTTCGGAGCGTCTCTACCTCCAGTGGCATCTTTCTAAGCGCCTCAAATCGTTGCTGGCCCCGAGCGAAGTAGTGACACTAAAAAACGGAAAATTTAAACACTCGGAAGGTTCTACCTGGTCGTGGTAGAGGTTACTGTCCCTCTGGCTGAAAGATGTTCTCGGAAAGACGATCGTCGTGTTCATCGCGTCTTCGAGGTTCCAGAGATACCCGGCGTCGGTGACGTTGTGGAAGCCGGGGACCTGAAAATCAGCGAATTCAGCGAGCTACAAGCGAGCACAAGCCTAAGTCTACGTGCCGTCGAGGCAAAATTTTTCGGCGAAAGTTACCTGGCACCAATGCTCCGGGTTGTACATCATGTAGACGACGTTCAGGTTGAACATGGCGTGCGGGATCTGCTGCATCGAGATCAGGACGTACACCCAGATTTGCCACCACGAGCACCCGCCGATGATGTTGAGCACACCTGGAAGAGTTCGGTGAAAGGCGAATTGGAAAAAGGTGATCAAGGAGCAGGAGGTCTTGGTCCTTAAACTCACCCTCAAAGTCTACTGGGTCAGTATAGTGTCGCTGTCGCTTTGGCCGGTATCGTTCCTGCATCTTCTGATGTTGCTCCCGGATTTCTCGCGTTGAGAAGGAGGTTTTGTGCCCGCCTTGGCGACTTAAAAAGGTTGTAAATCGATAAAAATTGAGAGAAAAATGCCGATGTTCAAAACTAGTCACTACTCGTTCAACTTACCTCGTCGCCACCGTAGCACAACTAATCTCCGAGAGACACATCGAATGTTTTGGCGTCATGTTCCCAAAATAGACGTCGCTCTCCTTCGAGGGATCGTCGTCCTGGGCCCCGTTATCGCCAGCTGAATCAACTTTGGGTCTTTGATTTTTCGACTTACTGATAGACGCAATCCCGGAGTCCCTACCAACGCCCTGGTTTGAGTCGGGGTGTCGTCGCTTGCCGAGCTGCGGCAAAACGCGTAAATCGACGGAAGGGATTTTGATACTTACCGCAAGCCAATTCTCACTGGCCGCCGAGCAGCGAAACATTGGCATGTCCTCCCCAGCTAATGCAGGTTCGCTAAAAAAATTCGTCAGTAAGTTTTCAGGAACTTTTCGCACCTGTAGATTAAGGGGCAGTTGGCAAACATGCTGCCCGGCATTGGACTGATGCTCCTTGGTGGTTCGCCGGGTGCCAGCTGAAAATAGGGCTCAAAAAGTTTAAGCAGGTTTGGCTTACCGAATCGTCATCCCCCTGATTTGTGGCCGTCCTCGACTCACGGCCGTTGATCGACGAGGCCCGGGACTCGAGTCGCACGTCTTCGTCCCCTTCGGCCATGGCTTCACCCTAAAAATTTGGATATTTGCAGCTGTCTGCCTCTCTCCCTCTCTCACTCACTCACTCTCTCGACTTCACGTACCTCCTGGAAGGCAAAGTTTCCGCGCACCGCGTCGGGCGTCTTCGGCGTCAACAGGCACTTCTTTTCGCTGTCTGAGGAGGTGGCCATCCCGGCTTCCCTAGTCATGAGGTGAAGAATGACTTCAAAAACGATACCTCGAGCACTCCCCGCTACAATGTGCCCTTGGATGGCCCCAGCACTGTCATCTGCCGATCATAAAAAGGGCTGAAACGGGTTGAATGCCATTTTTAGGCAATTTTATGCATTGCCAATGGAGCCCTAGAGCTAATGCTGCCGAAAAAAAGTTTAGAAAAGTCTTATTTGATAGATACTCAACGTTTGTACACCTAATTATTAAAAAATAAGTTGTAAATGTCCAAAAAATACCAAAACTGTGAATTTGCTGGAAAAGGGATTACTTAGGACAGCATAAATCGAGTTTGAAGCTGCGAAAAGTCCAAAAGGGCATAGAACGTCGAAATTTTTGAGAAAATGAATGTTTTAGAATGCTCTAAACATTTTTTAATCCTCAACAAGTAGAAAATCATATAGGATAGGGAAATTGAATGGAAAATAGATCGTGCCAAGTGTTGTAAACAAGCTATACTTTCTTAGAAGGTCGAAAATGTTATAAACATCTAAAAATAATAGAAAGCAAGGTTTAAATAACATTTTATATCACTTATTCAACAAGTTTAACGTCGCAAAATAATCCAAAATCCATATAACCCGGCCCCGGCAAGGCAACAACTCGGAAATGACCCAAAAACAAATCGCCGAGCCGGGAAAACTCGACCTCTAAAGATTAGTGGTGTGGACATAAGGGCCCGGCGGGGACCCACCCCGGGGTCGCCGACCGGGGCTTAGCAAAACACCGGGCGCAACGGCTGACCAGAGGGCGCGTCGATGGGAGCGCCGCGTCGTCTTTTGTGCCCCCGGGCCCGGGCTCGTCTCTGGGCCCTGGACGAGTCTCGGAAGCGCTCCCCAAAAATGCGGGATCAATGGGGTTGGCCGGGGTTAATGAAGCTGTCTGAAGGCGTGCCAAAGTCAAATAAGGGGATCATATTGCCCGGCGGCTCGCATGGAACGCCGGGCAAACCGGGAAGTGTTTTTGAAACATTTCCGGCGTGTTGTTAGCTTTTAAATGACTATATTAATTATTGCTGAAGAATAAAGTAAAATAATTAGTAGTAAAAACTAAGGCACAGTTTGAAATGCGGTGTATAATCTTTGGTAGCTTTCTAAAAGAAAATGTTAGTTGAATAAAGTCATAAAGCCGTAAACTGGGCAAAAATATGTTGAATAGCGACGTAAAATGGGTTTATCAAACGTATCAAAACCTTACTTTCCAAATTTTGGTTAGTTCCGTTGATTAGAGTCATAAAATTCAAATAATTTTTGCATCAACAGTTTCTAGTGATAGTTTTTGGCAATTTTGCAGCTCGTGTAGCTTTTCTTTCGCGGAAATTAACTTTTTTAGTAAGTAAGATTTTGTAATCATCAATTAAACTAAATATCTTCTCGATTCAGTAGACTTTCTAAAAGGAACCGACACAAAATGAAGCGCTCTCGATGTGGCGAGTGTAATGGAATCTGATATCCCGGCGAGATATTTTGGCGGGCGGTGATAGCGAGGCCGGCCCCCGACCCATGTGAAGCCCAGACCGCTTGAAATAGCCACATGATGTTCGTACATCTGGCCAACCATCGCCAAGAAGAGGCCGCTCGCCAAACTCGATCAAAAACTGCAAGCTCTGTGGTGAAAATGATAGAATGCGTGTAGAACTCGATTTTCTTGCCGTGTAATTTGTGATTTCGGTACGAGGAAATAGGTATATTCTTTTATTTTGTGCGTTGTCGGTACCCATATGAATGGAAAGCTTTGATGATTCCTGTTTTTGAAGTTTTTTTTTTGGTTAGATACAGGGCAGTCATGAGTTCTCTACTTGCGGTAGCCGGAAGCCTCAACAGCGGGGGCGGGCTCGGCGGCGGGAGCGGGCTGCTCAGCCGGTGCGGGGGCCTCCTCAGCGGGGGCAGCAGCGGGGGCCTGGTACTCGGCGGCCGGGGCGGGGGCGGCAGCGGGCTCGGCAGCGGGCTCGGCAGCAGGGGCGGGGGCAGCGGCAGGGGTGACAGCCTCGTCTCCGTAGCTGTTGTCGCGCTTCTTGCGGTATCCCGAGGCCTCAACAGCCGGGGCGGGCTCAGCGGCAGGGGCGGGCTGCTCAGCTGGGGCGGGGGCCTCCTCGGCGGGGGCGGCAGCGGGGGCCTGGTACTCAGCAGCTGGGGCGGGCTCGGCAGCGGGCTCAGCAGCGGGAGCGGGGGCAGCAGCGGGGGTCACAGCCTCATCTCCGTACGAGTTGTCGCGCTTCTTGCGGTATCCGGAAGCCTCAACAGCCGGGGCGGGCTCGGCGGCGGGAGCGGGCTGCTCAGCCGGGGCAGGGGCCTCCTCAGCAGGGGCAGCAGCGGGGGCCTGGTAGTCAGCGGCCGGGGCGGGGGCAGCGGCGGGCTCGGCAGCGGGCTCGGCAGCAGGGGCGGGGGCGGCGGCAGGGGTCACGGCCTCATCTCCGTAGCTGTTATCACGCTTCTTGCGGTATCCGGAAGCCTCGACAGCCGGGGCTGGCTCAGCGGCGGGAGCGGGCTGCTCAGCGGGGGCCGGGGCCTCCTCAGCAGGGGCAGCAGCGGGGGCCTGGTAGTCTCCGGCGGGGGCAGCAGCGGGCTCGGCAGCGGGCTCGGCAGCAGGGGCGGGGGCAGCGGCAGGGGTGACAGCCTCGTCTCCGTAGCTGTTGTCGCGCTTCTTGCGGTATCCCGAGGCCTCAACAGCCGGGGCGGGCTCGGCGGCAGGGGCGGGCTGCTCAGCTGGGGCGGGGGCCTCCTCGGCGGGGGCGGCAGCGGGGGCCTGGTACTCAGCAGCCGGGGCGGGCTCGGCAGCGGGCTCAGCAGCGGGAGCGGGGGCAGCAGCGGGGGTCACAGCCTCATCTCCGTACGAGTTGTCGCGCTTCTTGCGGTATCCGGAAGCCTCAACAGCGGGGGCGGGCTCGGCGGCGGGAGCGGGCTGCTCAGCCGGGGCGGGGGCCTCCTCAGCGGGGGCAGCAGCAGCGGGGGCCTGGTAGTCAGCGGCCGGGGCGGGGGCAGCGGCGGGCTCGGCGGCGGGCTCGGCAGCCGGGGCAGGCTCAGCAGCGGGCGTGACGGCCTCGTCTCCGTAGCTGTTGTCGCGCTTCTTGCGGTATCCAGAAGCCTCGACGGCCGGGGCGGGCTCGGCTGCGGGGGCGGGCTGCTCAGCTGGTGCGGGAGCCTCCTCGGCGGGGGCAGGAGCAGCAGCGGGGGCCTGGTAGTCCCCTCCGGCGGGGGCTGGGGCTGGGGCGGGCTCGGCTGCCGGGGCTGGCTCAGCAGCGGGGGTCACCGCTTCGTCTCCATAGCTATTGTCGCGCTTGACGACTGAAAAAGGGGGATATAATTAGTTTGGATTGTCTCTATTACTGGCCCTTATCGCTAAAATCTGAAGCGGGGTTTCCAGGTTTGCGAAAGAACGAATACAAGTACATGATTTCTAGGTTCTACTAGAAGATTCGTGCCAGAAATTGGAGTACTAGAGCTACACAAGATGACTTGGATTAATCGAAAGGTCAAATTTGTATTGATGCGCTTCCCGATTTCAAGCAGACACGAAGTGAGAGTTCTAATCGCAGGTACAGAAAGTAAGATTGATTTGATCAAAAAGATTACAATAGTACAGTAGTAGTACCAAAACAAGAAAATTGGTAAAATACTTACGAGATCGTGCGCTGGCAACGGCAGCGATAGCCAGGAGAACGTAGAGGAACTTCATGACTGGAGTAGTGATGTTGTGGCTCCACCAAAGGCTTATAAAGGGCCGAGCCGGGGCGGGGCTCGGCCCCGGCCCCGGGATCGGCTGCTGCCATTCTCGGTGGCGCGCGAGGAGCAAGGGGAGATCGAGCCAAGGAGCCGGGGAGAGAAGAGAGAAGCAGAGAGTGGGAGCCCGATTTGCGCCTCTACTTCTCCTCGATTCACACCTTTTGCGTTTTCATAAAAAAAACGTCTCGGTCGGCTGAACAGCACCAGTCGAGTGGCCACTTGATTGGGGAAGCGGACACGGGAGCCACAGTCTGCCTGGTAGTCGCCCTGGAAGGAGCGCGAGAAAAATAAGACAGGAATTTGGTGTTCATTTTTCTCGCGTTTTTCGTAAGCTGCGATCTAGGCCTCGGCCTAAATTTGAACATGAGCTTAAACCTAATTTCGGACTTTTGCCAATCCATGCTCCTACGTCTAAGCCTAAGACTAAGCCTAAGCCTAAGCCAAGCCTAAGCCTAAGCGAAGTCTAAACGCCTGGCTTAAGCTTAGTAAGTTTAGTCATCGATTTATGCCAATGCTTAAGCCTAAGCCTTACCGTGAATTGCATCTTACAGTAATTAGTAAGTGCGTTTTCTTACAGTAATTTTTGCACTTTTAAGACCATTATTTACTTAGTTTGCTTTGCCGTTTCAACGCCCCATTGCACTCTCCGGAAAACGTACAGCTTTTCCCCGTTTTCGCGGCGCTTCCTCGAATTTTCCGCTTGGGTTACGCGTGGCGGTGGCAGACTACCGTTCTACAGACAGCAGAGACCTTTTTTGTGCCCATCTCTGCGAGTCGCCCTTTCAGGGAGCCCGGGGTTCTGTACATGGCGTTGTGGCAACTCGAACTGTCTAGTCGCAAGTCGGGGGGCGCTGCACGAGAGGGGGGATCGCGTGGGAAAAGCCGCTCATTTGATTAGTTTTTCGAGGGATAGTGATCAGTCAGAAAAGGGCAGAACTTTAGGAGAGCAATGAAAAAATAACAACAACTTGGGCTTGTTAATTTCACGCGGTAAACAAACTTTTTTCGATGCATGCCCATATTTCTTTATATCAATGCCGGATGAGCTTGTGACTTATTGCAAACTATCTAACTTCTAGCAAATAATCCGCACTAACCATCATTAAAAATTTTTTTCTGTCGAAAAATCTATATTTTTTTGGCGCCGCAATGATTCCAAAATTTATAGAATTCTCCCAAAAAACCAAAAGCCGTCCCTAGCATTCAGAGAGATGCGTCCTATTAGTCCGCGCAGCAAAAAGACGCCCACGCGACGCATCCGGAAGGCGCGGCGTTAAGGCTTCTTTAACTTTTGGCTTTTGATAGTTTTGATTCCTGTTTTTGCGAGGATAGCTTGCTTTAGTGACTACTTATCTGATTTTCATACTTATTGCCTTATTTCGGGGCTTTTCTGTAATATAACTGCATTTTTCAGGCTGTCTTTGAGCGCCAAGTGACGCGGAACTGTTCGCCAGGTTGCAATGTACAGATTGTGCCGCTCGGCCGCCGGGAGAGTCACCTATTTTTACAAGGACGTGCCGAGGGGCGCTAGCTTGAACGCTGATCGATTTTGATAAAGGTTACCTTGTAATTTTCATGATTTTCTACAATATCAGCGTATTCGGCCTTGTTAAACCGGCAAGATGTTTATCAAACGTGCAGTTGGGTTTTGAGTGGGCATAGTTCATGATCAATAAACTGCATCCGTACTTAAAATCGTTAATTTGATGGTGTTGCTCTTGGCATTTTAGCTTTTCGAAGGCGGTAGTGTAAATTTTTATACCCTGGCGTGCAGATGAGATTTTTTGCAGCCTATTTCAGTTCAACAAGGCAAAGTTTTCACAACTTCATTTCTGCCCTTTTTTGGAGGTGTTTAACCCCGGCGATCCCAGGTTCACGGCCTAATGCTGTCTCTGAGAAAAGGTTAGCTCGCACTAACATGATCCCACTTGAATCTAGTGTTATTTTCATCGCGGGATAATCGAGATTTCGTAAATCTCTCTCCGTCGCCGGGTCGTGCCCACCAAAATCACTTTTCCCTCGAACCAGTAATCCTCGCCGGGCCTATCCTCTAAAAGCCATCGCGAAACCCGGGGGAAATGATGGATCGTCATTGAGGCATCCGAAAGGGTTATCAGATTTCCCCGTAAATTTGCATCATGCTCCCCGGATAGCTGGGTCTGATCGGAAACCGAGGCGAGGTGGGATATGTCCTTGGCTAGGGCCGGGGGAAGCCGCAAAGAGCACGAAAAGCGCACACGTACTGTACGAACGGTGATTGGCACGTGAAACCGGTGTGAACGAGTTGAGCTTGATCTTCAGAAGAAGCTTAATGATGTGCTGGTGCCGTTGGCAGTAACTTGAGGAAGCAGCCTTCTATGTCCCAAAACAATCGACGCCGTCTAGCGGTCCCGAGAAAGCTCGGATCGAGATGATTTTGACACCATTTGAAAGCTCTCGAAACGGCGAGCCAACAAGCGCTTTTTGTTAAAAATTACCTCGCTCGATATTCACTATGCCCTAAAAAGCTAGAAAGTAGCGTCGTCCTGCTATCTTGAACAGGCAAAACAAGCGGATTTGGCATAAAATCTGCAGTTTTTATGAAATTCGGTACTACAATTTTATTGTTTTTTTTTTATAAAATTAATCAAGACACCTCTATGCAAAAACGAAACGTGCTTCTTTACTCGCCTTTTTGAGAGCCATACCTAAATGTCAAACTCGAACACTGCTGCGGCGGCGCGGACGATTTTTTTCCCTTACGTTTTTTCGGGGCAGCCGGATTTCGGGGAGGGCAGCCTGCCCTTTCTGCTCTCCCCCCTTGCGGCTGGTCAAGCTAAACAAACCATACACGAAACAAGAAAATCGTCTTTTTCAAGAAATACCGACCCCACCACCAAAATTTCGGTCGATTTTATCAACCTGCTCCTTTCGAACCAGCCTGACCCTGGCAACCCGGATCCCTCGCCGGTTTCCAAAAATTACCTCATCCGCTTCGCCGGGCTAGTGTCCCCGGCCCCGGCGAGAATGACCTTGTCGGGGCGCCGAAAGTGAAATTCCAAGGGGCGGTCCCGACTCGACGGCGGGGGAAAACTGTTAGCACTAGCCTGTAAGACCGCGCCGCATTTTTTCGGGCAAGGCGCCGCGACGGGAGGCTCTCCTCTTCGGCGCGTGTGCGCACACCGGGCGAGCGGAGAAAAATATCCATTGTGGTCAAAATGAAGGAATGGGCGAATGGGCCGAGTCTCCTCTCTCCGGAAAGGATCGCAGGGGGGAATCCGGTAGCTTTTCGAGGCCACTGCAGCAGCCCTCAACCTAAACAACCCTGTAAACCTTGACCGTCGCGCCGCGGAAACGACTGGGGGTTTGATGGGTACGGCAGAAAAAGTTGCGAGCTGGGAATGGCTTTCGAAGGACGAGGGTGCTGCTAAATTTTCGGGTGGAGGTTTGGGGTGAAGTTTGGAAGGGATTTTCGGAATGCAAAAGGCTTCAAAATCAAGATAAAGCTTAACGTAAAAGAGTTACTTATTCAAGCTATTGAGGGCTTGGCAAAGGTGAAGCCTTTTGCGCCTTTAGATTGCGCGCGTGCTTGGACTTAGGCTTAGCCCGGACCTTGACTTAATCGATACTTATTGAGTTCAAAAACGCTATTGAGTTATCTCAGATTCTACAGTAATACCAAGTGGGAAAATTGCGTCTTCGTTCCGGGCGCACAGCTTGTAATTACCTGACGTTTTCCCTTGTTTTTTTTCGATTCGTAAGCCAGAACTTCCTATCGTCAAGAACTTGAACTAAAAAACAATTGAAGAAGCTAAAAGACACCTAAGGCAACCTGGGCTATAAAATCCTGGCCGGCCGCCAAGATCTGCCGCCAGATCTACCTGGAGCCAGTAAAATTGCTTTTCCAAGTTCCAGTCCGTAAAATTACGAAGAGATCCAAATCCGAAAAAGATCAAAAATTACAAATTACTATCTACTAATTCTGCTACACTAATGGAGCATAGGTCACTTGACCATCAAATCGCCCTTCCTATCGTACCAGATCATCAACAAAGCGCCCGGCAATCTCGTAAATCTCGAGCGATCGGTGTGTGTTGCCGCTCCCTGCTGGTGTTGCCCCCCGAGGCTCTATCCCCCCGCTGGTCTGGCTAAAAAGAGAAGCGTCAAGCCGTATCGTGAACTCTCTAATTCCCCCGCCAGCCCCTGAGAGAAAGGCGTTCCTTTTGTAATGAGCCGATTTCTAGCGGCATACCCGCGAGAAACGGCAATAACGGAAGAGTGCCGGTGTAGTATATAAGCGCGTGCCTGCCCGGTACTATCGCACTTGCCTCAACCGGCTCAACCGAGATGAAGCTTCTATTCGGCCTGCTGGCTCTTTTCGCCATCGCCAACGCCCGCTCTCGTGAGTTTCCTTGACTTTTGGCTTTGGCTTGGCTCGACTTCAGCTCTTTTTGAAGCGCATTTTCGAGCTTGTAGTACTTCGGAAATTAAAGTAACCATTAGAAATAGCCGTGAAGCCATCTAAAAGACTGTCTACGCCTAAGCCAAAAGAATAGCCTGACTTTTCCGTTTCCAGTCGTCAAGAGGGACAACAGCTATGGAGACGAGCCAGTGACTCCCGCCGCCGAGACCCCGGCCCCCGAGGCTCCTGCTGCTGAGACCCCGGCCCCTGAAGCCCCTGCTGCCGAGACTCCCGCTCCTGAGGCCCCTGCTGCCGAGACTCCCGCTCCTGAGGCCCCCGCTGCTGAGACCCCAGCCCCTGCTGCTGACGCCGGATACCAAGCCCCCGCCGCCGAGGCCGAGGCGCCCAAGGAGGAGGCCCCCGCCCCCGCTGAGCAGCCCGCTCCCGCCGCTGAGGCCCCTAAGGTCGAGGCTTCCGGATACCGCAAGAAGCGCGACAACAGCTACGGAGACGAGCCCGTCACCCCCGCCGCCGAGACCCCGGCCCCTGAGGCTCCCGCTGCCGAGACCCCCGCCCCGGAGGCCCCTGCCCCGGAAGCCCCCGCTGCTGAGACTCCCGCTCCTGAGGCCCCTGCTGCTGAGACCCCCGCCCCTGCTGCTGATGCCGGATACCAGGCACCCGCTGCTGAGGCTGAGGCCCCTAAGGAGGAGGCTCCCGCTCCCGCTGAGCAGCCTGCCCCTGCTGCTGAGGCCCCAAAGGTCGAGGCTTCCGGATACCGCAAGAAGCGTGACAACAGCTACGGAGACGAGCCCGTCACCCCCGCCGCCGAGACCCCGGCCCCTGAGGCTCCCGCCGCCGAGACCCCGGCCCCCGAGGCTCCCGCTGCCGAGACTCCCGCCCCGGAAGCCCCCGCTGCGGAGACCCCCGCTCCTGAGGCCCCCGCCGCCGAGACCCCAGCCCCCGCTGCTGACGCCGGATACCAAGCCCCCGCCGCCGAGGCGCCCAAGGAGGAAGCCCCTGCCCCCGCTGAGCAGCCCGCACCCGCCGCCGAGGCCCCCAAGGTTGAGGCTTCCGGATACCGCAAGAAGCGCGACAACAGCTACGGAGATGAGCCCGTGACTCCCGCCCCCGAGGCCCCTGCCGCCGAGACCCCGGCCCCTGAGGCTCCCGCTGCCGAGACCCCCGCTCCTGAGGCCCCCGCCGCTGAGACCCCCGCCCCCGAGGCCCCGGCCGCCGAGACCCCGGCCCCTGCCGCTGATGCCGGATACCAGGCACCCGCTGCCGAGGCCCCCAAGGAGGAGGCTCCCGCCCCCGCTGAGCAGCCTGCCCCTGCTGCTGAGGCCCCTAAGGTCGAGGCTTCCGGATACCGCGTGTAATTCGTCATCGTCGCCGTCACCATATGGTTCTCATTCTCGTTGCCGGTTATTGCAAACGTGTATGTACAAAATAAACATACAAAACTCAATGTTTGGGATATCACACAGCCTTTTGATTACACGGCAGGACTAATAGAGAGCAGCTCTAGAGTTGTGCAGAGCGAGAAATCGTCATAGAGATAAAGAGATAGAAGCGGGAATCATCAGAGAGTACGAGAAAGCATGAGAGAGATGGAGGGCCAAATATATGGTGAGAGAGAGAGAGAGAGACAGAGCGAGAGAGCCGTAAATTTCATACGGTGGCTTGAAAATTTTTGTAGTCGCGGGCTGTTCTCAAGTGGGTTTACAAACTTGTATCGGCAGTCCTGAGAGTCGTTTAAGATAATTAATATCACCAATGAATCCCTACTTAAAGTTTAACCTCAAAAAATCAGAGTATAGCTATGAAAAAAGAGTATAACGATTTCTCGTAAAGTCTGTTAGGCTGACTGGCCTGACTTTTCAACTGCAGCGGTCTGTTGCCTTCAATTTGGTGTTTTGGCTTTTGTATTTTTTATTTCCAATAGATAATCCTTTATTTATATTCGACTCTTCTCTAAATCGAGCAACACTTTCGCCGGGGAGGAGGTGGAGGTGGGGTTTTAGTGTAGCAGTGGTGTCGGGGCGATGAAAGGCATTAGAGAGCAGCTTGTTTTTGCGCTTTGCAGTCCCGCGCTATTGCGAGAAGCCGATTTCAACATGATTTCCTACTCAAAACGGGGATACGCTGGGGGGATGGGAAACATCATGGAAACGGAACGTGAAAGACGGTTTTTTGTAGGGTTGGGGGGCGGTGGTTGAGTGTGGGATGTCTAATTTTCAGGATCGGGAGGCTCTTAATTTTCTAAGTTTAGGTTTGTTAGTTGTCAAATACCGGATTAGTGCCAAAGCAAAGCCCAGTTTAAGCCTAAGCCTAAGCCTAAGCTGAGCTTAAGCCTAAGCCTAAGCCTAAGCCTAAGCCTAAGCCTAAGCTTAAGTCTAATCGTAAGCCTAAACCTTCGAAAATAAGAGTTTCCCGATCCTTCGCTTGCACATAAATACCCGCATAATACAGGGTCGGTGGGGGTAATAAATAGAGAGCCAAGAAAAATTCGAAAATTTCACATAGACCCGTACGTTTAATTAAGCCTAGAAAACAATTATTAAATTGCAGGGCAAATCACTGAGGTGGCGGCGAGAAGTGAGGGCATTATTTTGGGGGTTTTTGGGAGAATTTTACATTAAAAAATCAATAAAAATTCGCCAATAGCGTAAAGTAGCATCCAAGGTTTTGGGGTCTCATTCAACACTTGGATTCCGCAGCGAGCGCAGCATAGGAGGACGCGAAGGCTCGCGTCGGCGTGGCGCTGCTGCCGCTTGAGCTGTCTCCATCTAAAGTTTATGGTTCGGGCCTGGAATTTAGGATTTAAACAAGTTTAACTTATATATTCGAAATTCTTCTACCCTATGCAACGCGCAACTTACTGACTCTGCTTGGCCACATGTCGAAGAGCAGCTGCAGGGTGCTGCACGCCTGGGCGACGTCGAGGGGCCGCACTTGCTCCTTGATGACGCCGCCCGCGTTGTAGGAGGGCTGGAATGGGGTTTTGTAGTTTAGAGTTGTAAATTGTTAGAATTGCCTCTATGTTTAGATTGGTCTGCGGAACTGTAGGTAGCCTAAGACTAATCCTAGCCTAAGCCTAAGCCTAAGCCTAAGCCTAAGCCTAAGCCTAAGCTCATATCAAGTTTCAGGCGCCCCCACTCAAACCCAAGCCCGGATCGGAAGCACCTAAAAATCGTTGCACAGTCTAGCCTCGCCACATCTGCCAGAAACTACACAGTACGCGGCACTTTCTTGCAGAACGTTCCAACCCAATTGCCAGTAACACTCGACTGCCCGAATTTTTATGAGCAGCAAGGTGCAGCCGAGTATCGTGCATTTGTGGCGGGTTCGGCTACGGACCCGGAACCCTCTCGGGGGATGGCGTGCCGCTGTACATTTTGGGGTCAAGGCTTCGATCAAGCCTAAACCTCAACTAAGCCTAAGCCCAACTTAAGACTAAGCCTAAGCCTAAGCCAAGCCTACGCGCGTTACGGTGGTGCCCTAGTCGATAGCTAGGCAGATTTTCGGATTTTGCGATGCGCATAACCGTCCAAAGCAAAACTGCGAGCTCGACTTCAAAAGCTACTTCGAAATAGCGACTTCCAGGTCCCAAACTATCTTGTCAAATGTTCCTAGACTGGTCTAGAACCTTCTCTCGATCGACAAATCAGCCAGTCACCTTGAGCTGACTAAATTTGTTTTGTTTTTCGGGCGGCTTGTCTCGACGCCAGTACTACCCTTCCTGGTTCAGCACAGGTCGAAAAGGCGTGAAACACTTTTGGGCGTCGACTAAGGAAAGAGAGAGAGAGAGAGAGAGAGAGAGAGAGAGAGAGAGAAACGATAGCTGATGCCATCCACCCCCGGCTTAGGCCGCGGCTATCTTGTTTGAAAAAAGGTAGCCGACAGGACGAGGTGGAGAAGGGGAGAGTCTCTGTTGGATCTCTCTTTTTCCGTGTCTATATTTCTTTGGGTCTGCTTTCGATCTCGAGGCCAGATAAACCGGAACCACCGACAGGGCCGGGCCGGCAGAGCTAGCCCGACTAGGGTGATTTGAACAGATTGGCAGGGGTGGGTGCAAAATTTAAACATGTTGATTTTTATTTGAATTTCGGCTTAAGCTTGGGTTTAGGCTTGGGCCTAGACTTAGGCTTAGACTTAAGCTTAGTGTAGGCACAAGCTTAGGTTAGGTTTAAGAAGAGCGATAATCGGCCTCTTACATCGCCTGATTTAGCGAAAGCTACCCAACACTCCAAGCAAGTACCAGTCATATTTTGAGGGCAGAACTTGAGGGAAAGCAAAAGAAAAACTGTTTGCATGCGTCTTTTGACGTGTCGCGTAGTGGTCTAGGCCTAGTCGAGGCGGGGGTCGATTTTGGGGCTTCGCAGCCCATTAAAAATGCATTATTCGGTTAAAACAACCACTTTTCTTCATCAGCTGATAGTGGTGGCCACAAATTTCGCGGGGTGCTAATAATCAGCCCCTCAATCACTTTCGCTTTCTCCGGTCTCACCTGTATGATTTTCGAAACCATCACGAGCATCTGGCTATCTCTCTCTCTCTCTCTCTCTCTCTCTCTCATCGTCTCTCTCACTCACTCCCTCCCTCTCTCTGTCTCTCTCGCTCTCTCTCTCTCCCTCTCTCTCGCCAACTCGCGCTTTTTGAACCCACGGGATTAGTTCGGGGGTAAAAGTAGGTGCCGGCGCGAGAAACTGGACTCAAAATTTCTGGGCGCCCAAGATGGCGAGGGCTAGGAGTACTTTCCGAAAAGATGCACGATCCCCCATCTCTAGGGATCTAAAAAAGTGGCAAAAAGTGCTTTGTGACTACGGTATTTTGGTATCTACGCGCATTTTTTGCCGATCGCTGATCATCTCCGTGAATTTGCGAACTCTCGGCGATTGGGGAAAGCTTTCTTGGAAAATCAGGGGAAAAGTAAAAGCTTTTTGCACTTGTAATTTGCTAAAAATCCAGAAATATAAAAAAATTAACAAAGCTCAAAAAGCAAATTTTAAGATAGAAAATTTTATATAGACTTTAGCAGCTAAATTTATGGCTAAAATGACTGAAAAATCTATGTAATAGCGTAAAAAAGCCAAATAACTCGCAAGATTTACCTGAATCACGGGCGGATCCGTGGTGCAGAATAGGAGGGGCGCGAATACGGTAGACATTTTGGCTTGGGAAAGGCCGTTGTGAGGAGATGAAGCTAGGCAGAGCATTAAATGGTCCATCACCAGGATCAGAGCGTTCTGAAGAAACGAAAAATTAGCTCTCTCTCTCTCTCTCTCTCTCTCTCTCTCTCTCTCTGTCTCTTTGATTCACCTTATTCGCCGAGGGCAGGCAGTCGACTACAGACAACACCAAATTCCGGGTATCCTGCACGTCGTTTGGTCTCATCACTGCCGCGGCATCGAGAAGCATGGAGTGGATCTGGAGCGGAACCAGTGGTTCCGGCATCTCACGGAGGAAATCCTGAAAATGAGGGTGAGCTCGATCTCAACCTTTTGAACGACTCGAATTTAGTTTTCCAAAGATTGAGCTTTACGCAAATGCTCGAACTTCTGCTGATGAACTGCTTGAACTTGATGCAACGGTCTTGGTGCCCTCGCTTAAGCTCTTATACCTTTATGAGACATGCCAGCACGTTCGTGTCCGGCACAGCGTCGATGCTCAAGTCCGTGCCAAGTGGCGAACACTCGAGCTCGTCTCGCAGCATCCGCTTCTTTTCCAAGGATCCGCACACTAAAAACAGCTTTAGCCGGAAATTATCGTGAGAGAGGGAGCGAGGGAGAGAGCGAGAGAGCGAAAGAAAGAGCGAGAGAGCGAGGGAGAGATAGAGAGAGTTCGATTGACAGAGCAACTCACGAATATACAGCCCATTGTAGTCAACACCGCGGCGCTCGAGCTCCTGGATAAGGCGGGAGAGCACGATCGGGGTTTCTCGACGATCTCGTTGGCAGAGACGGGAGAGTGGGACTCCAAAGACCCTAAAAATCAAGTTCGAGACTTATGAAAGTGACCTACGCATCGCTACGAGTGCTGACTTGACGTCGGAAGACCGTGTCGAGGTCGTGGAAGCCTGAAAATGGACATTAGTAAGGCTGGCAAATCAGTGGTCATCTCTCTCTCTCTCTCTCTCTCTCTCTCTCTCTCTCTCTCTTTCTCTCTCCCTCCCTCTTCTCCTGACTCACCGATTCGAACAATCAACTGCCCCCTCGGCTCCAGCGACAACGCGAAAATCCGATCTCCGTTGAGCTGATCCACGACGAATGCTTCGAGCAGTTTCAATGACCCTTTATGGCAGAGTTTATGCCTAAAATGGGTACTATAATTCGTATTTCAACACGGCACCAAAACTATATTCTATTTTCCTTCACAACACCTTGAAAAGGACCAAAATTGAGCTAAAGTCTCTACCTAAACTGCGGGTGCCAGCTGTAGATGAAAAAGTGGGTGGTCGTGGCGTTGAAGACGTCAATGTGGAACGTCTCCTTCCATCTGTAGCGCTGCTCGCTGGTCGAGACGCCGGTTCGCGCCCGATGGCACTCGTCCACCTCCAAGACGCAGTACATCTCCTCGGTGACGGCTCGCTGCTTGTCCGGGATTTTCAGGCCTCGCCCTTCTAGGATCTGGAAAGGAATGAATATTCTCTGCTAGCCTGCCCCTTCCATTCCCAAATGATCTCTGCCAGCCTGCCCCTTCCATTCCCAAATGGTCTTTGCTAGCCTGCCACTTCCATTCCACAATGATCTCTGCTAGCCTGCCCCTTCCGTTCTCAAATGATCTCTGCTAGCCTGTACGTCTCTCTCTCTCTCTCTCTCTCTCTCTCTCTCTTTCTCGCTCTCTCTCTCTGTCTCTCTCACCTGCACAAACAAAATCCCGGTCAACGAGTCCACGTTCAGCCTATCGACATTTATCCCTGGCCCTGCAGCCCGAAGCGGCGCTCTCCGATTCATCAAGGGAGATACGTGATACCTAAATTCGTTTTTAAGGGGACAGTGCCAACTACCAACCTATCCAATGGATTCGGTTCTCGTCGCATCGGTTGCGGGCTTCCGACCAACGAACTGGCGACCAGGCTCCTGCTAGGAAGGGAGCAAGAGCGGGTGCCGCCACGAAGGTCGGCCGGTTGGGACCATCTGAAAGGAATTTCGGGTGAAAAGGTAGGCAGGCCGGATAGCGCGACTTTGTTAAAGGCGCCAGGACGTTAGAAAGTGGACCCATCGATCAGACTAGGTCTCGACAGCCACGTGAGACTGCACCGCGTCGCTTAGGTGCAGGACCGTAGGAGGAGGGATTTTTCGCCGGCGGCGCCTTTTTTTATGGTGTTTTCCTATCAATTCGATCGGAACGGAACACTCTTTGATAAATTTTTTTGTCTGCGGCGCTGTGTTAGCCGCGATTTTGGGGTGTTTGAAAAGTGACGACGGGGGGGTCGCCAAAATTAATTTTTGACCCCCCGAAATTCCGCCTCCTCTACGGGCCTGCTCAGGTGTCTCGTAGCTGTCGAGACCTAGTTGTTGAGAGGGTAGATTCTCGCGCTCTCTTGTCCCTTTAAATAGCGACAGAGAGAGAGAGAGATGGAGGGAGAAAGAGAGAGCGAGATAGAGAGATGGCGGGAACTCACCTCGTATTCCTCCCCATCTGATTATTCCCCTGCACGGCATACCCAGGCGTCGTCAGCTGTATGTTCTGGTAGTTCTGCCCGGGGAAGATCTGCGGGTTCGGGTACGCGTTTTGGAGTTGCGACTGCAAACGTTCCATCTTAAGCTTAGAACTCGACAGTTAGAAAGTAGAGCATTCAGAAGAAGCTATCCAAAAGTCCGATTCAAGAAAAATAAAAAAAAATCTAAAAATCTAAAAATAGATTTATTAATTCAAGAATTTTCGCATAATGGCTAGCGTTATCAAACGTTCTATAAAAATATTAAGAAACGAACCTGTCTCAAATCGGCCCAATGTCGATGTTCACCACCGGAGAATAGGTCATTTACAGTCCGCCCGACGCCTCCATTCGCCAGTCGCAGAGCTGAAATGCGGTATTTAGCGTGTGTTTTTGTCATTACTAATTTTTCTATCTACCCCTGATCGCCAACGTATTTTTGCTCGTACTATCCATCTTTCACCTAGCTACACACATCTGCTTCAGATTTGTCTTTCTCTCCCAAAATACCTCCCAGCTGGTGGGCCAATTTTTCTAGCTTGAAGCATGGATTCTTCACTAGGTTTTTGGGGGGAGTTTGGCGACCTTTAGAAAGCTCTTGCTCACTCACTGGCTATTTGTCTTTGTCTCTCTCTCTCTCTCTCTCTCTCTCTCTCTCTCTCTCTCTCCCTCTCTTCTCTTTGTCTCTCTTTCGCTTTTTCTCTCTCTATCTCTGTCTCCCTCTCCGCCTCCAGGACAGCGATACCGAGATTTTTAAAGGAATCGGCAAGTCACGCGTTCCTAAGCCATTTTCAGGTCCCTAGAATCAAACCACAACGCAGCTTCCCAACTTCTCAACCCCCTCGATGGCCACAGCAAAAGCGACAGCGCCATCTGCCACAAAAGATTAGGGCATCGGGTCGGAATGGGGCCCCTCGCGGGCCCGCCATTCATTTAGCCGCCTCATTCCGGCCGGAAACACAGGACGGAGAGCGGGGAGGATGAAGACAAAATGGCTTTTGCCCATTTCATGGCGCAAAATAGCCGCCTCCAGGACACTTGCGGAGGCAAAAAGCCGAAAAAAGTTCGAACGAGAGTCGCTGCCAAAAAAAAATGTCAGGCGGGTTCGGAAGTGGGGGGAAGGGGCTGAGACAAGAGAGTTCGAATATTTCTCCTCGCTTTTTGTCTCTGTCCCCATATCTCTCTCTCTCTCTCTCTGTCTCTGTCTTCCTCTCTCGCTTTCTATATCTATCGCTCATAATTAGAGCTAGGGAGAGAGCAAGCAAAAGAGACAGCTAGAGAGAGAGAGCGAGAGAGAGAGAGAGAGCGCGAGCGAGAGGGCGAGAGGAATCAAGCTATAACGAAATAGATCCTACCAGGAAACAAAATTTATTTTAAGGGGATGGTGTCGGCCAGCAGTTACGGCTTGAAAAATCTAGGTTCAAGGCTACAAACAACAACAACTCACGATTCGAGTATCTCGTCGAGTAGCCGCCAAATTCCGGAGCAGACGTCGCGCCGTCGGACTCCTCGCCGAGGTCGGCCACAACGTCGGGTCGCCATTTGACGTTCCGCGGGCCCGAGACCGCTCTGAATTCACTAATAGTCACACGCTCGTTGCATTTAATTTCATCTGTTTCCAGGCTTAGACTCAGCTTAGGCTGAGGCTCAGCTTTGGTGACCTTGCAAGCAAAACTGATGCTCCAACTCACCTCCTCCTCGGCAAGCTGTTGCTCCTCGTGTCGTAGGTGCTAGTAGCAAGGGGCTGCCTGGCCAATCGGCTCATCGTCGGTGACATCCCGCCAGCACGCATTAACGGCTCACGGGCTGACATTGCTTCTCGAGGATCTCTGAAAAAATGATAAGGTAATTCTCTCGCTCCCTCTCTCTCTCTCTCTCTCTCCTCTCTCTCCCTCTCTCTCCCTCTATCCCTCTCTCTAACTCACCTGTAAGGGTCGTGCATTGGATCTCTCAACGGATCTGGGGGAGGAACGGCTGTAGAGGAGCGGGGGAGGGTTAGGCCCTGAAATGGGAGGGTAGCAAAGAATCATTGGGAAGTATTCGCCATTAATGCGCCACAAAAATTATCGGCCCTGCCGCAAATTGATAACTTACAGTATTCATCGGCTGCGTTCCGAAGCTGTCTGTTCTCCTCATCGAGGTTGAGCAGATTTTCGAAGGAATCACGCGCGCCGTTCTCGATACCGTATCCAGGGGGTCTGGATCGGAAAATCTAGACAAATCAGGTAAATTCATGCATATCTAGAGTTTTAGATACCTTTGCGAGGAACGTCCAGGCAAGTCGCCATTGACTGGCATATTCTGGCGGGGCGTCATTTGTTGGGAGTGGGAGCCTACAAAAAAAATGGATTATAGGCGCTTTAAAGGGACTGGGAAGCGCAAGGATCGACCCCTTTCAACCGACTAGGTCTAGACACCCACACGACACGCCAAAATCGTGACAATGGCATTTTTATAGCTTTTCATGGCTTGAAGATATGACAAAAATCGGGATTTGCTGGGTTTTTGGAAATCCCGATGACTATCTAGACCTAGTCTAGGAACGGGGTAGATTTTGGCGTTTCCTAGCTCCTTTAAAAGCCAGTCAAGTGTAGAGTTGTACGAGGTTTATAAAATTTAATAATTAAGATTAGCTCCGTTTTTTGAATTCTCTGTAGCTGTCCAGACCTCGTCGATGTGAGGGGCCATTTTCCAGCTTACTAATGCCGTTAAACGAGCTACGGAGCATGGAGCCTCCTCAAAATTCACTGCTAGCCTTCCCTCACGCACCTGGTGGATATCTTGCTCCATAAGGGGAATGCGGATCATTATTGGCGTTCATCCCGCCGTAGGTCCCGATGCCGCTGCGCTGCATTTCCTGAAAAAGGGCATAAAATGACTGAAATTTGAAACGAAATAGTAGATAAAAATTTTTTAAAAGTGCCGGGCGAGCTAGAGAGTGAGAAAAGTTAGAGAGCATGAAAAAAAACGAAGAAAAGGAAGAGGTGAGTGCCACCCAGGCCGGTCTGCAGAGAAAGACCTTTCTTTCCTCTATCTCTCCCTCGCACTCTCTCTCTCCCTCTTCAGGGACCCTGGATTTGATTAGAGACCCCCGGCTTCTCTCTCGTGCTCAAATTATGCAAATCGGAGCCCGGGACATGCCAAAAGGAGCGGCGAGTTGCAGGGTATATAGGGCTTTTCCTGGCTAAGATGATAGAGATTGATCTCTCTCTCTCTCTCTCTCTCTCTCTCTCTCTCTCTCTCTCTCTCTGTCTCTCTCACGCTGTCACCATCGCTTTAAAAGCGGCAAGTAAGAAAAAACTTAAGCCCAAGCCTAAGCCTAAGCCTAACGAAAGCCAAAGTCTAAGCGTAAGCCTAAGCAAAGCCTCGGCCTATTCCAAAGTTTCCAGAACCAGAAAAGTATATCCGTTCAACCTCCCAACTTTGGGGTGTGACAAAGCGCGAATTCTCCCTCCGGGGCCCCCGGAAAAACGGGAAGCTGGCGAAGAGAGAGAGAGAGAGAAAGAGCGATAGAGAGAGAGAGAGAGAGAGAGAGAGAGAGAGAGATAGAGGGAGCCCAGGAAGCCATGAAGAATCTGTTTATCAGCCCCACCCCCACCCGCCTAGTCGGGAATGGGGGGACGGGACGAGCGCATCCATGCGCGGCTTTAGCCAACGGGAAAAGGCAAAAAGTAGTAAAAAGCGGAACGGCTGAGGGGAGCAGTGGAACAAGGAGATGGACTAGTTCTGGACCTAAGCCTAAGTCTAAGCCGCAGCCTAAGCCTAAGTCTAAGCCGCAGCCTAAGCCTAAACCTAAGCCTAAGCCTAAGCCTATGCCTAAGCCTAAGCCTAAGCCTACGCCTCAGCCGATGCCCACACACTAGCGGCTTTTAAAGGGATGGTGACCGGACATTAATTTTCAAGGCCGAGGCATTTGCTGTTTTTTAAGCGCTGCAAGTTGAGGCAGTCTCGTCCATATTGGGGAGGCTAGCAGAGATCTTTTAGGAAACTTTGTAATCCCCTTAAAAGAGGTAGGGAGGTCAGAATCTTCCTCCAAAATCCATTAGGCCAAGACAACTACGCGAGATACCCAAAAACGCCTTTTAGAGCATATCGTAGCTGTCCAGACCTAGGCGATGACAGGGGTCGATTCTCACGCTTCCTAGTCCCTTTAAAACGCCCGGTAAGTCAAATAAAAACGCAAAGCCCCGTTTTATTTCCCCGGAGTTCAAGGGTTCACCGGAAACGACCGGATGAAATGGGACCCCCCTATCCGGGTTCCCGGAAAACTAGAGGGAAGACCGTGGAAAGTTCCACTGGAAACTAAAGCCTTCGGGGCGTGCGAGTCTAGGCCATCTATGGAGGCGAGAGAGAGAGAGAGCGAGAGAGAGAGAGAGAGAGAGAGAGAGAGAGAAAGAGAGGGAGAGAGAGCTGCGGGTTGAATGGCAAAAAACCAATATATATGGGCCCCCGGGCAAAGGGATGGGAAACCAATGCCGTGGCCAGCTAAAAAAGGCCAAAAAGGGCCCGAACGGCCCGGAATCGAGGGCCCAGGGGCGCAGAAAAGCTCAGAAAATCTGCTATCCTCCGTTCTCTATTTTCTCAGAATTCTGGGTGGGGTTTTGCTGTCGCCAATCTCCAAATCAAACGCCGGAACGGTGGCCTGCCCCCGGCTTTTCCGGGCCGGATTTCCGGGGCATCCGGGGACTAGGAGAGGTAATGCTGGGAAGGTGGGGGGGGTATTTACCGGCGTGTTTTTGACGTTTTTTTGTAGCCGGCTAGGATTTTGAAGGGCTCATGAAGTGCGAAAATTAACCCCCTTCCATCGGCTAGGTCGCGACAGCTACGAAATGCTCCTAATACACTTCAATCTGATTTTTTAAGCATTTACAAACTTCAAATTTGGCAAAAAAACGCTGGAACGTGCGCTTAAGTGCCGAAAAATTGGTGTATGTAATTTTAAAGGGACTAGGACCTGCTGGAATCGACCGCTAGGTATAGACAATTACGCGGCACGCCAAAATACGCTTGAGCACGCTGAATTTCAGATGGAAGCACACGTTTCTAGTGATTGAAAGATCAGATTGAGGCGTATTTTGGCTTGTGGCGTATCTGTCCAGACCTAGTCGTTGGGAGGGGTCGATTTTGGGGTTTCCCATTTCCTTAAACTTGGAAAAATGTGATCCGAAAGTTGCGCCTTGATTGCGTATTTAGTCTTTTAAAGGGGCTCCGAACTGCCAAATCAAAGCCCTTTTGGGAGGCCTCTTTGATTTCTGGCAAATTGCCAGCGTGCGCTGCGGGACGAGAGCCCTCACTCTTTCGATTTTTGCGCGAAGTTGTTTTTGCCCGGTTTCTTTGGGAAAACACTATAATTCGCGCATTCTGAGCTCGGGTAATGATTTACCCACGGGAACCCAGAAAAACCCACGTTTACCCGTGGGTACCCGCGAAAACCCACAGATACCCATGTTTTACCCATGGGAACCCGCAACCCGTGTTTACCCATGGGAACCCACGATTTACCCATGGGTACCCATGGGTAAATCTCGGGGGGAGAGAACCCATGGGAACCCAGGTTTTACCCATGGGAACCCATGGGTTCCCATGGGTAAAATTGTGCATAGTACTGTCACGATCACATCCTACTTTTCAGAAATTTTCTCCCAAGTTTTCATTTTATTTTGTTTTTCTAACTTTCTCACCGAATAAACTTTTATATCCATAAGAACTGGTAAATACTTGGAGTAGGTAAGTTTGCTAAACGTACTATAGGGTTTTAAATGATGATTGGCTTTGAAGCAACGATGTTTTTCTGATCGATCTAATTTTTTTAGACGGATTGTAGTGCTTATTTATGTCTTTTTCAAGAAGAAATAGGTACTTCACCATCAACTACGCGGGTTTTGTAAGTATACCCTCTGTTTCCTATAATACGTTCGAAATTTCAGAGTACATTTACTTGCTACAAAGAATAGGTTGGATGGTGAGTAGGATTACAACTTTTCTTTCTTTCTTTAGGTACTGAACCTGCATTCGGGCTATGGGTAGCCGCGATGTGTTTTTATGAGGGGATTCGTCTACTATAAAGGCCGTGCAAGGACAAAAACGAAAAGTAAGTATGTTTTTGTGCTCCTTGAGCAGTAAACGGATACTTTCTAGGTTCTATCCCTAAATCACGGACTGCTCTACACGCCCATCGACTGCTTCCAATCGATTAACCGTAGGTTCATCAAAAAAGCAGCAGCTCTGAAGCTATGAAAACGACAAAGTAAAAAAAGCTGGCTATTTTAGTTATTGCCGATGCTCCCGCCTCGATCTACATGAGGGTCACAACTCAGCGTCGGACTGCCAAACAATTGCCTTTTGAAAGTACCACCTTATTAGTGAAAAGCAAGTAAAATAAAAGTAAATTGTAAACTACAAGCACCTCCTGTCCAGTAATTTACCCATGGGAACCCACGATCTACCCATGGGTACCCAGAGAAACCCGCGATTTACCCATGGGAACCCATGGGAACCCACGTCTTACCCATGGGAACCCATGGGTACCCAACGAAACCCGTGATTTACCCATGGGAACCCATGGGTTCCCACGGGTAAATCGTGGGTTTACCCATGGGTAAATCGTGGGTTCCCATGGGTAAATCATTAGCCGAGAGCCTATTTTTGAAATCCTCACTCAATTTTAAAAGGTTTTGGTGCTTTAATCATCAAATTTGGCCCAGAAACAGGCTTGAACGTGATTTCGAGGTGACCACAGGGAATTTCAAATTTTCGAGCTTCCCGCGTCCCTAGGTGTACAGAGGCCTCCCACGTACAGGGCTCCCATTTTCGGGCCGTCACTCAATTTTTGGCATTTCGTAGCCCCTTGAAGGATCAAATACATCTAGTAAAATCGAAAATCCGAGACCAGGAAAGTCTTCCTGGTCAACTTTTCAGAAGTGAAAAGTCGAGGGAGACCCTTAGCACCCTGGTAGAGCCTCGCGACTAATTTGGCGAATCCAATTATTGGGGCGGTGGTGGCTGGCTGAACTCTCACAACTCTCGGCATTCAAGAAGAGGGCCCAGCCTCGGGGCAGGTGAATTCAAAGAAAAAATGGTATTTCCAGTTTCAGCTTAAATTGAAATAAAAACGGCTTAGGGAGGGTAAACTAGCAGGGTTCTTTGAGGAGTCCGATTCGAAACTCAAGACTTTCCAAGGGGCGCTTGAGTGAAAGCGAGCAGAGGTTCTTTGGTGATTGGGGCAGGTAGCCGAGAATCTTAAAGAACCGGGGCAACGATCAAGGATCCCTTAGGAAGAAGAAGCTAGCAAATATTCGTTAAAAATTTAAGAATTGGGTCAACTACCAGAGTTTCTTTTTAAACGGGCCAATCAGCGGGGGTCTTTCAGGGATCGGAGCGACTAGCAGAGGTTCTCTAGGAATCAGGGTAACTAGCGGAGATTCTTTAAAAACCCGGGAAACTAGCAAAGATCCTTTAGGAATCTAGCAGAGGTCCTTTAGGTATCGGGCAGCTAACAGAGATTTTTTTAGGAATCGCGGTAAGCAGCAGAGAATCTTTAGAAACTGGAGAAACTAGCACAGATTTTTTGAACCCGGGAAACTAGAAGAGATTCCTTAGGAACTCAGGCAACCAGCAGAGTATCCTTAGGAATCGGAGAGCTAGCAGAAGTCCTTTAGGAATTGGTGCAACTAGCAGAGGTCCTTTAGACAACCTGAAACTCAACAAGAGCACCTCCAGCTCAAAAAAGTTATTTAGTCCGTGGGCACTAGGGTATACGGCCCCCTCGGCCACCCTACTCGGCGCCAGGAGGCGCGGCGTGTGGAAAATGGGGCGGATCGCGGGGAGCAGCAGAAGAAGAAGCGGAGAAGGAGAAGAAGGAGGAGGTCTCGTAATTGGGCCCAGCCGGGAGATCGAGAAAGAGAAAAGGGAGGGGCCCTCCGACTCGGAGAATGGAAAAAGGACTGCCGCGGAATGGAGCCCCGGGCTATACGCGGGATATCTTTGCTCTTTTGTTCTTTCGTTGCTCTCTCTCTCTCTCTCTCGCTTTCTCTCTCTCTCTCTCTCTCTCTCTCTCTTTCTCTCTGACTCTCTCTCCCGCTCTCTCACCTAAGAAAAGAAAAACGGGCATCTAAAATTGCTCGAGGCGCGCGTGTGAGCTCGAATTTTTCCTCGCGGCATTTTTTATTGCCGTGTGGGGTCGCGGCCTATTTTTTTAGAGGGAATGGAAATTGCGAAAAATAGCAAGATTTAAGAAACAGCCTCGTAAATTGAATTTAACAAATGGAGGAAGACAGGAGAGCGAGAGAGAGAGAGAGAGAGAGAGACAGAGAGAGAGACAGAGAGAGAGACAGAGAGAGAGACAGAGAGAGGGAGCGAGGGAGAGAGACAGAGAGAGAGAGCGCGGGAGACAGAGAGAGAGGAAGACAAAGACACAGACACAGAGACAGAGAGAGAGAGAGAGAGAGAGAAACGAGAAAGAAAAAGATTTATCAGCATTTCCATAAAAACTAACCTGCGTCTGTTGCCTCGCCCTCTTCCCTAACCAGGTATCTGCCGTCGAGGTGGGTTGCGATAATAGAGAACAGGGCGCCGGCTCTCCTACCGGTCGTTCTTCGTACTGTAATGGAACGTCTTCATGTAAAAATACGGAAAATAGTTTTTAAAGGGCTTAGAAAGCTCGAGAATCTATCCAATCCCAGCGACTAGGTCTCGACGAAGAGGCAGAACGACAATGCGTCTTTTGGAATGTCGCGTAGTCGCCTAGACCTAGTCAATTTTCTGCCGTTACTAGTCCGCAACGGTAGAAAAATATCTGAAAAAGACCCTAAAAACTCCGGAAGCTCGGAAATTCGACTCCTTCCTATCAACTAGGTCTCGACTAGGTCACGAAAATGACGCGGAACGCTGATGCGTTTATTGGAATGTCGCGTAGTCGTCTAGACCTAATCGATTAGAGGACGACTTGTCCCTTTGCTACCACTTTAAAGTGCAGAAACAAAAATGGTCACTTGCCTTATGAAAAACCACAACAGGCCGATCGGCCGGTTGCCTAGAGGAAGCGCCTCGTTCTCTACGATTTTTGTTGAACCTGAAAAACAACATATTACTGTAAGATCTTCCAAAAGTGACAGACTTTATCCTCAACAGCAGTCTCCTCGGGATGCTGAGTATCAAAACAACGTCATCTATCAACATGGTCGACACCTCGACATTGTTGATGCTCAGCACCTCATCGCCGGAACGTACGAGGTCTTCGGCTCTGAAAAATAGAAGGATTTTGATGTTTCATGGGTGTTTTTGCTTCTAAATATACGTTCAAGGCTAATCCATAGATTTTAGAAGGCTGTCATAAGGCCTGAAAACCCGAAAAACAGTTTTTTTTTCAGCAAAAGCTTTCTATAAATGGCCAAATCAGTTGTTTTCCTAAAGTCTGACTTTTCCTAAAGAACCTCTAATAGCCGGCCTTTCCTAAATAATTCTACAAGCCTGACTTTTCCTAAAGAATATGTGTCAGCCTGTCGTTTCCCTAAGAATCTGTGCTAGACTGGCCTTTCCTAAAGAATCTCTGCTAGTCTGCCCTTTCCTAAAGGATCTCGGCTAGCTAGCGATTAGAGCAAAGAAAGTATCTGGGCAAAAATGTATTGTACAAAAAACCGACTTTGCCAACTCCGAGTTGTCCGCCAGCCGGCTGACGAAGACGCCCGAGCTCCGGTCGATCCCATTGCCCTCTCTAAAAAACCAAAATTTTTCAGATCATTTAATCAAGCATTAATGGTACAAAGAAATGACGGGATTGGTCATTCATTAAAGGGCACGTTCAGGGACGTTTTTTTGGAAAAAAGCAAAGATTTTTGCCGCGGCCGGGGGTCGAACCCGGGCCCCCCGCTCGGGAGGCGCGGATGGATACCAGTCAGCCACAGCTACAACCTGGCGAGGGGCCGAGGGGCGCCCCACCCCGCAAAGGAGGGGAATGGCCTGTCCCAGCACGGGCAGGCAGTGCGCGCGGTCCCTACGTCCATAGGGTGTACACGTTGGGACGAGTACACGGCCCCTCCCTGAACGTGCGCTTTAATGATACGACAAGCCGCCCCTCACCTCAAAAACAGCCCCAGCGACTGGCCGGGCTTCTTGATGACCTCGACGAGCTGGACGACGAACACCTCGCCGGTTTGTGGGGCTCGGAATTCGGATCTGGAAGTGGAGAATTGAGGGGAATAATTTACAAGTAAAGGGGCTGGGAAGCGTAGAAATCTACCCCTAACATCGGCTGGGTCTCGCCAGATACGCGAAACCCCGTAAAACCAAAAATAGCTTTTTTTTTGCGTCGCGAGAAGGCCGATGCGGGGTTAAATCTCTGCTTGGCTCTCTCTCTCTCTCTCTCTCTCTCTCTCTCTCTCTCTCTCTCTCTCTCTCCTAAATATCTCTCTCTCTCTCTCTCTCTCTCTTTTTCTCGCACACTCTCTCGCCTTTTTCTCGAAATTTAGGTTATCGCGGAACCGAATTCCAGTCGATGTAAAAGTTCGACTCTAGCGGTTTCTAGACCATTATAAAAACTATACGGTAAGTACGATTCAATCCAAACGACGTTCATAGTAAAGATCGGAATTTAGCCACTGAAGATCGGAATTTGAGCGTGGCCCGTTGGGGGATTATAGGGTGAGGTGCCCCTGAGGCCAGGACCCGATTTATGGGGGTCCCCCCCGGATGCTTTACGGGCTTCGTGAGGAATTTTGGGGAAGCGGTAGGGTGGGCAGGCTAGCAGTGATCCTTGAGGAAAGTTCATACAAATTTACAAAAGCTTCGAACAGCATAAAAACGTGCAAGAAATGCAAAAATTTAAAATTTTCAGAAGCAATTTTTGACAAGATAAGTTTTAGAAGAGATGCAGGAACAAAAAACCCAAATTTTGCAATAAATTTGCCGTTCTGGTCCCTTAAAAACACTCACCGATCCAGTATTCGGGCCGACAATCCGAGTAGGGCGCCCCTGGTGAGTGTGGACGAGGCCTGGTCAACGGCCCGGATCTGACGGTAGATCTCCTCGGGTAGGCCGCCTGAAAATGAGCATCAGCTCGGGTTTAGAGGAGTTAAGATAGTTTTAATGATTTAGTAAAGCAAAAAACGGGTTTGTATATTTGCCATGAATGCATCGATTAGTTTTGAAAAGTTTTAAAGACAACAACAAGCAAGAAATCGACATTTTGAGCATTCTGAATCTTGTCGTGCTAGTACCAAGCTTTTTGGCTGGCTTAAGTTTGGCTTTGGCATGATCCAAGCCCGGCTTAAGCTTAAGCTTAGCTTTAGGCTTAGGCTTAGGGTCCGTTACGTGCAGCCTAGGTTTTAGGCTTAGGCCTTTGCTCATGCTTAGGCTTAGGCCTTGGCTTAGGCTTTTGGCTTCGGCTTGAGCGAAGGCTTAGGCTTAGGCTTGGGATTCCGCTTAGGCTGAGGCATGCTTAGGCTTGGCTTAAGATTATGCTTAGGCTTAGGTTTTTGTGTTTCTGCCCTCCCTGTTGCTTGAAAATGCAAACTCCAAAAACTGACCGGCTGCTGTGGACGAGGATGGGCCGTCCATGGCCGCCGGAGGGCCGTGCTGCAAATTGGATTTTGAGGGCGCAAGGAACGGGTTTTCAGGAGAAAAATGACTGGCTTGAGAAGCAAAAGAAGAGCGTTCAGATTTGGATCAACTATAATAAAAAAGTTGTGGTGTCTGTGTGTGTGTGTGTGTCTGTCCGGTCCCGAATTCAACTCGAAGGGGAAAGGAGCTAGAGCTTAGCTCTCTTCGGATTCGGATAGAGCGTGGTCAGAAACCCCGAAGCTGATAAAAAAATTATGAAAAAGTTTTAATTTAAATTATTAAAATTAACTTTGAAAGTTTTTTCCTTAGTAAAGGGGTGGGGGACCGAGGTTGGCATGATTTTCGCATAGTGAGCCAGGTCGCGCGCGTTTCGTGGATGAAAATTTTCATGGAGGATTTCATTTCTTTTTTTCTCTCATTCCATCCGGTCGGTCGTTATTTTCGTTTTTTAAGGGGATTTCGCCTAGGGTAGGTATCGAAAGCCATCAGGAATGTATTTAGGTAGTTTTTGAAGGGGATTTCAGCCATGGGGGGTATCTGAAGCCATCAGGAAGGTATTTAGGTAGTTTTTGAAGGGGATTTCAGCCATGGGGGGTATCTGAAGCCATCGGGAAGGTTTTTAGGTAATTTTTGAAGGGGATTTCAGCCATGGGGGTATCTGAAGCCATCAGGAAGGTATCTAAGTAGTTTTTTAAGGGGATTTCAGCCATAGGGGGTATCTGAAGCCATCAGGAAGGTATCTAAGTAGTTTTTGAAGGGGATTTCAGCCATAGGGGGTATCTGAAGCCATCAGGAAGGTATCTAAGTAGTTTTTGAAGGGGATTTCAGCCATAGGGGGTATCTGAAGCCAACGGGAAGGTATTTAGGTAGTTTTTGAAGGGGATTTCGGCTATGCGGCGTATCTGAAGCCATCAGGAAGGTTTTTAGGTAGTTTTAAGGAGTAGCTAAGTTTTTGCAGGGGTGGCTATAGGGGTATCTGAAGCGATTGGTGTGGGTATTGGTGAAGATAGAGATGTAATGTGGTGGCGTAGAACATGGAGGGTAGCCCGAAGGCCAGCCGATTACAGTCGCGAAGCGGCTGTAATCGGCTGGTTTCCCAGAAAAAAATGGAGAATAGATGTTCTTGGGTATTTCTTGAACAGAAGAGAGAGAGAGAGAGAGAGAGAGAGAGAGAGGGAGAGAGAGAGAGAGAGAAAGAAAGAGCTGTAGAGAGAAAGAGAGAGAGAGAGCTATGAAGAGAGAGATAGGGAGCGACAGTTCGAAAGATTCTAATCAATTAAAGCGCTGTTTAAAGGCATCATATAGGGCAGAATCGACCCCTTCTATCGATTAGGCCTAGACAGCTACGCGACGTGGCAAAACACGTATAGATTTTATTTTTGTAGAGCGGGGCAGAAATCATCGTGGCCAAAAAAAGCAACGCTCTTCGTTGCGTGTTTTGGCGCGTCGCGTAGCTGTCTAGACGTAGATATATCGATGGGGTCGTTCTCACGCTTCTCAGTTCCTTTAAAATCGTAAATTACTTTTAAAAATTCAGAAAAGGTTTTTTGAGAGGATCTCCGATTCTCGGAAACCCAAAAAGTGGCTAAAGCACCACCAAAATTCACAGGATTAGCAAGAAAACCAGACAGACGCACTAATCCAGGGCATCAAAACCCATTGGCAATGTCTCAAATTGAAGGAAAAGTGCGCGGCAGGTGAATTTAGCGTTGGGATTAATTGGAAAAGCGACTGGAAATGCAACCGGATGCAATGAAAAAACTGATGTGTGAACATTCGTATTTTGACCGCACTAATTTTTTTAGAATTTCCAGTACAAATAAAGTACAGGCATTTTAAGAAGTTAACGAGCTTTTCACGGGCCAGTTCTTATCGCTAAAAATACTGGGCAAACTAGCGAAGATCCCTTGAGGCCTGTATATACAAAGATTTGATGATTTATTAAAGTAAAAAGTGTCAATAACAGTGTAAATAAATGACAATATAAATCCTATAAAAAAGTGTCAATACTGAATTTTTAGCATCAAGAAAGATCGTTCGATCGCATCATGCAGGCCGAATTATTTATGATCTCCCTTTTATATAAAAGCTTTGCCGGAGAAGCCAAGCAGTCACAGGAAAATTATTGGCGTAATTTGAATCTGCATACATGACCTACTGCGCAATTTCATCAACCTAAGGGCCTTAATTCAAACGTAAGCTTGCAACGTGCAGAAATATTTTTGGTTGTTTGCCAGGGGTCAGTTTTTCGATTTTTGGCCTATTAATAACCCGCAGAAAGGGGGCAAAGCCTCGGGCGGGTGCAATTAATCTTGGAGGTGATTTAGAGGGGTGAAAATAGGCATAAAAAGAGGGGAAACGGAAGAGGTAGGGCAAACAAAATACATAAAAACAATCAGAGAAAAATCGAGAAAAATGCAGATTAACGAAGAGTGTGAGAGTGAGATGGAGAAGAAAGCTTTTAAGCCTGATAAAAAGGTAACAACCCGAAAAACAGCAAATTCAAGCTCGAAAAACGGACGGACAGACAAATGCTAATAAAATCGACAGACAAACCGACAAAAATCCTTGAAATGCAAATTCCTACTGGCTAGAACTTAAAGGAAAGTATTTGGCGAATAAGGAACTTTAAATAACCCTTTAATCATAAAAAAATACGCAAGCCGACAAACCGACAGACTAATTGACCAAGAAATCGACAAACAGACGGAAAAATCCGTAAAATAAGGCTATTAAAACCAAGAAAAATCGCTTTTAAAGAAAAATACGGCGAGAAGTAAAATCCATTCCAGGATAAATAAAGGACAGACAGACAAAAAGAACAAAAAATCGGCAGACAAACAGACAGACAGGCAGACAACACGCACTATATAGCATTCGCCCCGAGGCCGGGGATCAATGCCAGAGCCGTCGGGGGGTGGGGCGTACCCTTTGGGTCTCCGCTTTTGGAGACTGGGGGGGCCCCGGGGCCCCATGGAGGGCCCTCCGCCAAATCGACGGTCCCTCTGGGGGCCACAGCACTCCTGAAAGGGCCCACAACCACAGACAGACAGAGAGAGGGGTCTGGGCCCTCTCTCGTCTGCCCATTCCCTCGCCACTCTCGTTCTCTCTCTCCCTCTCTCTATCTCTCTCCCTCGCTGCCTCTCTCTTAGGGCCCAGTTTTGGCTGGGGGCCCAGAATGGTGCCCGGCAAGCCCCTTTCGGGCTTTTTACCCCGGGATTTCGGGATCGCGATTTGGCGTGCAAAGTGGTGCTCAGGGAAATTTGAGTCGGGGGAAATTTCTAAAGAACATTTGCTAGCTTGCCCAGCCTATGAAAATTCCCAAATGAAATCTGCTAGCCTGCCTTGCCGTAGAAATTTTCTAAAGCTCTCAGAGCGACCAAGGAGGCGAGGTGGGCGTGCTCGAGGCTTCTCTCTCTCTCTCTCTCTCTCTCTCTCTCTCTCTCTCTCTCTCTCTCTCTCTCTCTCTCTCGCTCTCTCGCTCACCCCAAAATGGTGCGCGAACGAGGAGGGCCCTATCGGGGCCCCCCTTGTTCGCAAAGTGGTGCCGAAATTTGACTCCGCGTCTGGCTTCGGGGGTGCTGAAAGCTTTTGGCATCGGGGGTGAGTCATGCGAATTCAGAATTCCGGAATCGGATGTGATAAAACCTCTCGAGGCGGTACCGTATGAATGGGGAATTCCGAAGGCAAGCCAGAAGCAATCCCCTGCTAACAATAAGTAAAAACCCAGCGGGCAGGCTAGCAGAGACGTTTGCGGAAACTTACGGAGCAAGCGAACGGTGGTCATTGAGGAAAGAGAAGATTAGCTAGGGCGTTGGAGGGCAAGATCCAGAGATAAAGCGAGAAAGGCTGAGTAAGAGAACGGGCGACAGTGAGAGGGAGCGAGAGGGAGAGGGAGAGAGAGAACCAGAAATGAAGCGCAAGAGAAGGTAAGTAAACCTGAGAAAGACGGCGAGCGAGAGAGAACGAGAGTGCGAATACAGAAAGAGAGCCAGGGAAACGAGTAACACTAAACATAGATAATTTTAAGAAGAAGCTACCCAGCCGACCCTCAAAATAACCGGGGGCTAGCTGGCATAAACCGTTTAGGAAGCGTTAGGATAGCACAAAAAATCCACGATGACCAACAGAACATTTAAAAGACCAGTCCGTTTTCGGATCAATTTGCAAGCTCCAAAACCGCCCGGAAGCCTGAATTTGCTTTGAATATTCAAATGGGACTGGGGTGTCCGGGCCAGCTGTCGAGTTTGTCGATTTCGAAGCTAAAGAGGGGAGCTAACACTCCCAGAGCATAGCCCGAGGGCATGGTCATCATGGATGAGTCGTCAGGGGGGGGGGGGAGAAGCCCCCCACCCCCACACATGGATAGCCAGGAAGGGGAGTGACGGATTGGATTCTGGGGGATGGACATACGGATAGGGAGAGAGAGAGCGAGCGAGAGAGAGAGAGAGGGAGAGAGAGAGGGAACTACTATTCGGCTTCTCGTCTGGCCTAAAATCCGCATCACACCTCGAAACGGCTGAAGACCCCCCCAGTGAATACAAGGGAATCTTCAGTTTCCTGAAATATCTCTGCTAGCCTGCCCCTTCCATTCCCAAATGATCTCTGCTAGCCTGTCCCTTCCATTCCCAAATGATCTCTGCTAGCCTGCCTCTCCATTCTCAAATGATCTCTGCTAGCCTGCCCCTTCCATTACGAAATGCTCTCTGCTAGCCTGCCTCTCCATTCTCAAATGATCTCTGCTAGCTCGCCTCCACCCAAAAATTGTTAAAAGCTACTACACTTTAAAGGCACCTGGAAGGCAAGAATTCGTGGGAAGGAGTCAGCCACAAGGAAAGTAGAGATAACATCAGGTCCTTTCGGAGCGGTGCCAAGTCTGTGATGGGGTCGTAATTTGGGGCAGAGCGTAATCCTGGGGATGAAGCTTTGGAAGGGGAAGGGGGAGAAGTGGCCAATTCATTATCCTCATCGCATACCTCCCAAAGGGGTCGGCCCCT